CAAAGCAAACCTCAGGGTTGCAAACAAAATTGATGGTTAATTTGGTCTATTAAAATTTATGATCAAACACGTGTAAGAGATGGAGAAAAAGTTACCTAGAAGTTTGGAGGGATGTAACATCAACTTTTCGAAGTGCACCCTGAGCCAAGGTTAAAATCTGGATATTTTCAGCCTTAATGTCACTTGAGGGGAAAATAGAAGGTAGAAAATTGAAGATTTATATCAGCACAACAAAGAAAAACAACAAGGACTGTTCACATTTGGAGAGTCGAGGTGGTCGCTTTGAGGCATTTTTCTAACAAATGACAAACGGTAAGATGAGTTTTCAGTCTATGGATTAATCCCTTCAGGTCTATAAATTTCACTCTGTCTGGTCAATAACAAAATAGTGGGGCTGATATGATTTATATGTCTTTCATGGAAAGTTTTACTTTTATCAAGCAATATTTTTATGCTGCAACCAACTAATACCATGACCTTGACATTCTCCTCTGCTGACTTATCCTCCTCACACCGGTGTGTCAGAAATAAATCTCTCTTCAATGATAGTAATATATTTGACTAGTTCAAAATGTAAGTTTCTCTCTCCTGCTGGTCTGCTATGCTTTACCAGAGCAACATCTCATCACTCTACCATATTATCCGGGACTGTATCAGCGTAAACAGGAAAAATCCTTTTTTTTTCTGCGCATACGTATCAGATTTGGTTCATTATCTGTCTCTGCTTGTCATCACCTTCTGCTGAATGGAACTGGCATCACAAAAGGGCGAGCCGGAGCATCCTCTCCAGGCTGCTGTTATTAAAAAAACATGCAGCCACAGTCTCATCTAAAATATACAATGACAGCTGGCAAAGCACAGCTGTGCCTCCTCGTCTTTTTTGCACATCTTTTCATGCTCGTTTTGTTGTCTGTAAATCCTAATCCTGCAGGAGGAAACATTTTGTTATCACAGAGCAACCTCGGTTCAGATGCAGTGAAATAAAAAGGCCTCAGAAAAAGTGTCGTGTTTTGTTTCTTGGCTCTCTTTTGTGATTAGCTAAACAACAGCTGTCATGTACATTGGGAGCGTAAAATAGATGCAGTGCTAGCATGAGGTAAATAGGCAGTTAAGATTAAACTAAAATCACTACTGTGTCTCAGCCTGTAGGGGAGATTAATGAGGCGAATTACAACAGCAATGAGCTACAGTCACTGTGACTAAAATGATGCAACATCATTTAAACTCATGGAGAGTTGTTGTTTTGAATGCAAACGCAGGACGCAAATCATGAATGTGTTGTCACCTCCAGATGATCAGCAACTGAGGGGACGGTGGATGCAAGAAAATGAGGCATGTGAAGCAAAAGTGGAAACTAAGATAAGCAATCAAACCTCAACCCTCTACTTCTACCTTATGGTTTTACAGTAAAACAGGATTTAAGGGCAATTACAAAGACCGAGCTGCACAGATAAGTCAGAAATAAGTGGCCTTCTATTAAAGGATTATACCAGCATAAAATTTATTAGGGTCAAACACACCGTAACACAGAGTTAGACACCCCTCCTCGAGAGATGAATGTTGCCGGCCGCTTGCTTCTCTAGTTATACCAACTAAAGTAACGACCGCACGATAGCAATACACAGCAGTCTGATGAGCCATAAACAAAACTCAACTAAAACGCCACTCTATAGCCACAAATAACACTCAGAACAGCACCTAACTTTATCAACAGTACATATAGAACTAGCCACCAAACTGTCCACCAGGCCCCACTTCCTCATTGATGTTTTAAAGCGACTAACCCCAGTTCTTAGGCTGTTCAGTGTTGGCCATTGCCGGTGTGGTAGGTCGTCTCCTCCTATAGCGCCACCTCCTGGGTCCCAAATGTAACGATGGATGCGAGAGGGCCCAGTTGACTGCCACTTCTGCTTCCAAGCTGCTGCCAGCAAAGTATCTCTGGAGATGTCCTCAGAGGTGGAACTGAGCATCTGCTCCTAATACAGACCACCTTCAGAATCCTGCCTCTTTGACCTAGGACCAGAGATGTTGGCATGGCTACACGACACCGAGTTGGACCTCTGACGTTACATGAAAGAAGAAGAAGAAGCCACCAAACATCTTTTAAACTTTGCCTGATTTCTTTAGCAAAGAGGCTAAACACAACTCACCTACTCTCTTCCAGCAGCCGCTTGTTTGTTGGGGGACCTCAGGCCAGTCCGTTACGGACTGCTGCGGGGTGATGCAGCTCAAGGAAGGACATTTATGATCATTCTTCATGGAAATGCGATCAGACCAAGACACTGAGGCAGAAGAACTACTGCGTCTGCAGTGCAAAATGATAAATATGATGATTATTACTTCAAGGAAATGATAAAGTAATGACCATAAATGTTCTTCCTTGAGCTTTGTGGCTATAGAGTGGCGTTTAGGTTCAGCGCGTGGCTCCTCAGACCGCTGTGTATTGCTATCGTGCGGTCGTTACTAAAGTTGGTATAACTAGAGAAGCAAGTGGTCGGCAACATTTATCTCTTGGCTTTGTGTCCAACTTGGTGTTACGGTGTGTTTGATTCCAACTTGATTTTACTTCTATCAACCTAGCGGAAGTTCACATCACAGCATGGCCTGACTAGTTAGCAAGCTGACTCTATAGTCATCAAATTTTAGACCAGTGTCTCTTAGTTTTGTTCCCCACTTTCTCTAGCCGGATAATAACTCATCATTTATTTGCATACATTCAACACTTTTTACCTCCCACCTCAATAGTCAAACGTCTTGGCAGCCATTGAGCTTGAGGAGTCTCAGTCTGAGGCAAGGTCATCTTCAATTTCTGTATGTTGGCACAAATCTGATCTCCTCTGAAATGACGATAAAGAGTGATAAATGACAGAGGGCCCATTACACAGGGAGCTCATATCATCAAACACGTGGCAGACATCCAGCCTCACACACAAACAGCCTCAGAGATTATTCAGCGGCCCGGCTGTCACAGCGGCTCTGCTGCGTTTCTTCCCCGGCTGCACAATATGAGCATGTCAGCGTGACTTCTAAATTTTTAATGGAAATGTGTGGAGGAAGCAGTCGATGTCCACAGCAAAGTAATAGCTCCGATTTCACGGAGAGGGTTCTTCAAGCTCCTGTCACCTACAAGCATCAGAATTTCCAGCACGTTTTTGGGAGAGAGAGGCTTTTGTAGCAGAGAGAGGGCTTACTTTGAAATAATTCACTCACAAGATATGCAGATTTAAATCCAATTTACCTCACAAAGGTCATACTTTTATTTGATTGGCCTATCCAAATGCAAATCTTTTTATAATTTGCTTTGCTGAACTTTGCTTTTTCTCTCTCCCTGTGATGCTTTTTATCTGAGTGGGCGTCAAGGTTTTCATATTCAGGATGAATTCAGCTCGTACGGCCCGGCTGCGAGATTTACTGGAACGGGTCACTGAAATAATCATGTGCTACCATTAAGGAGAACTGGCGTAGGTGGACTTTAGTGTCAATCATCTTAAACTTAATTTTTGCTATCTCTCAAATCCTGAAAAAGAGGAAAACATCAGGAGCCTGCTGTTAGAATTTCATCCTTTTCTTCATGGAATAGCTGTGTTGCCTCTGCTTCACAATAGCTGTATGATCCAGACTGAAATATATGAATACCTATTTGTTTAATTTTACCTTCTAATGTTTGTATTTATGATAAATAGCCTCAAACAGCTTTGGGGATCCGTGAGTTTCCTGTTACACCCAACTCTTCAGGTGGGAGTATCTGAAAAACTACAGTCCCTCAGATCAGCCTCAGAAATATCTCGTGTCTAGGTTTAATCAAAAAGTCCTAATAGATATAACATGTTGCACATTGTGTCCCATAAACTTTAACATGTATGTATTATGAGCATGATTGTGAGCCGACTTTAGCATTCAGCAGAAGCACCACTGTGCCAAAATCCAGCCTCACAGAGCAGCTGAGCTGACAGTTAGTTTGTTTTCTTCAAGACAGCTCAGGGAGAATTTTGAGACTTTTTATTCTGCTGTACTTTAAAAAAAGTTACATCTTTATCCTCCAAGTTTTAACATCTTCAGTACGTCCACAGAATTTTAAAAGTTAGGAGTGTCCAACCATCAATGCGAAGCTGCTGGAGTATTTAGCAGCAGTGGAAATAGAGCTGATGGTGAGAAATAACAGAGACAATGGAAGCAATCAGACTTTAATAAAAATCTGAAATGAGACCACAAAAAAGTGGCCTCTACTGTTTGAGATCCGTCGTATACGTTGATTAAATGTTTATAGCTTCCCTTTTCTTTTAGATAAGATTGGCCTTATCTGAGCACAATTATGATTGTATGAGATGACCTCTGATTTCAATCAGAAATACTAGATTGGAAATGTTATTTTGCATCTTGGGATAAAATGGGTTCAGAAATGAATGACACGAAGAAGTCAAAAGTTTGACAAACAGTTTGGGATTTGGATAATAGTGAGGAGAATGTGGAATCAGAGCGGGAGTTTCCTGTAAGCTAAAATAAAGCTGCAAACACTTAATTACTCTTATCTGAAAAATTAATCAACTTTGAATGTATTATTATTTAAATTTGGACTATTAAACATCTATTTTAACACTAGAAACTCTTTTTTCAAACAAATGCTAGATTTATTTCACTTTATATACATTCAAGATAGGGGTGGGAGAAAAAAACGATTCACATAAGTATCGCAATTTTTGTTTTACAATTTTTAAATTGATTTTTATGTTCGAAAATCTTTTTTTTTTTCAAATTGACTTACAAGTGATGTATTTTAGGGGTAAATATGGTTCCTGGAATAATCAGTAGACAATCATTATCATTCAACTGTTTTACTAGTCTTAAAAAGTCAGACTTAAGATCAAGAAGATCAACAATATGGTACAATCGCATTTTAAATCGAATCGGCGTCCAAAAGATCGTAGAAGAATCAAATCGGGTGAAAGCATATCGTCCCAGCCCTAATTCAAGGTGGTAAACATATGTGTTTTGTGATATACCCTCTGGAAATGCACCGCCCCTGTGGTCAAACCCCGCCCATCACAGGTTTGATTCCCCGCTGTGGCCTTTCACAACAGGACATTGCATGTTTTTTTCTCCGTGCCCTCATGTTGATTTCCTGTGGGTGTTCTCCATCCAAGTTGCAGGTGAAGACTAAGCTGCCAACAGGCTTAAGCATGAGCGTGAATGATTGTCTGTCAGTCTCTATTAGCCCTGAGAGGGACTGCTGACCTGTTCACATGCTTGCTACCTGCCGCACACTCACACTCCGGCCAAAAAAAAAAAAAAAAAAAAAAAAAAGGTGGATTTTGGAGAGGATTGTTGGTTCAGACTTTCACCACTAGATGGCATACACGAACCAACAAACCTGAACTCTAGAGGAAGAGTAATTCATCATTTTCTGCTTTTGCATTGTGTGTTTTACAGCAGAAAAGTGCAAAAGCAGTCCAGTCAGGCAGAAGTAGACTGTCAAGGCTAAGCTAATCTTCTTCCTCTCTTGGCTGCTAGATAACTGCATTTCCTCCAACTTTAACAATAGACACATTCAAGAAGAAAGCAGGGAGTGTTTTTTTTATTCCAGAGCAGCTGCTAAAAGTGACGCAGAGATACTGGAGACACAAAACACAGACATACAGTATTCCTTCAGCCAAGATTAGCTTTCGTGACTTTGTTTCAGCACAGGTGTCGGTGAAGCAGTCTGTTACATTTTTGCTGAATTAATTTCTAAAATGTACCTGACCTGTTAAAAACGCAGCTGACGGAAAGGGAACAGGGGAGGGGGGCTGCAGAGGCCTGAACATGCAAGCTGTGCAGACTCATAACGGTGCTTCTTTCACACTTAAGGAATCAATTATTCACAGGCAGCGGTGACATCTTATTTCTAATGTAGAAGTCTCAAACATTTACACACCTTTCACACGCACACTCTCCTGCACAAATTTAACTGTAATGTGATGATATGAAATGAAAAGGTAACAGGGTCAGGACAGGGGACAGGGGACGGGACTGGGGTGAGAATTTAACATCTTTTTGCTCATTTAAAATTCATGGTAAAAATATTTTTAAGTTGTATAGTTGCATAATAATTTCAAATGGCATCAAAAATAGTTAAAAACTGCAAAGTGTCTTTGTATTTTGAGAGTGCATGTCCTCAATCCAGGCCAATAGAGTTAGGATTTATATTAGAGATCTGTAGTGCCTGATTGTAAAGTTTTATGCACTTTATTATCTTTTAAAAGTTAAAACAGCCTCTAAAACGACCATAAACTTTGGGTTGGGACTTCTCTGAAACTTTCAAACATAATTACTTCCATTCATGTGGAATTAACAATAAGATATACCCAACAAAACAGCAACTATGTGAACAACTAGTTCTCAAAATCTGAGATGGCTCACACAAAAATATCCCCAGTAAAACATTCTTAAACTTTCTAGCAACTTCATCCACCGTCTCTCCAATTGATAAACTATCCAAAACACGCTTGCGGCAAAGAGCAATTTATAGTATACTGTATATACACAAGGTTTGTTCTTGAATACGTTTCTATTTTGTAAAGTTTCAGGTGTGTGATCATTTCTAAGAGGTCAAATACTCATTACAGCGAGCGAGAGAGGGGGAGACGAAAAAGGTTAATCCTAAAATAAATGAAAAATCAATAAAGGAGATGGGACAGCCAGCATAATAACATCATGAATAAGTCAGGAGTATAACTGCCTGTCATCCGGTAACCCTCTTTAAAGCAGGTGTTTTAAAAAGGGACAAAAACACAACACCTGCATGTCTGTTTCGATGTGTTTGAATGAGGGTTTCATGCGTGTTTAATAGTGAACTTCGGTGCACGACGAGGTGTAGAAAATGCCTTCTGAAAACACACTGAGCTTAATATAGTGTAATAAATCCATTATAATCCATTAAAAATACAGCACATCGACCCACCTGCATTAATATTTCACCTGACGACCCATTTATTGTGAGGCAGACTTACATTACAATGTAAAATCCCAAAGAAGCTTGTGTTCTATTACGTAAGTGGCCACAGAGTGTGTTCCTGAGAGACTTTTACCTGCGACGCTCAAGTCAGCCCTGAATAAGACATAGTAATGTTTCAGGTAATGCATGATGATTGAGCTGACGTTACATTTATTCAGCACTGACTATATTTGAGAGATGTCCCGAGTGAACTTTACTATGGAGACAAATCAGATGCAGTATTTGGTTTTAAGATACCTAAACTAAAGGTGCAATCAGTGACGATTGGAGGACAGGAACTTTACTACGTCCAAAGACATTACATAGATCCCTGACAAGCTAAGTAGTCCACAGTTAATGGCTTTATCTGATGTATTCATTCATTTTTAAAGGTTTTAGGAATGAGCTCAGATTCAGAGTACACACTTGTTTCTAGTATGTAAACTACAAAATAACAGAAGATGTGTGAGTTCTCGTGAAGTGGGACTAAAGAAGCTTTAAGAAATGAGCATTGCTGTGATTATATCAGCTAAACCAGACGCTGAAGAAAATATGTGGAGTATCATCACAACCTTGAGTATAATATTGCTTTCATAAACAGTTCTTCAAGCCCCATAAGTCAACTCCAGAGAGATATTTTTGATTCACTGGGACCGTCTACACAAATAGTCCCACAGCTTGACAGAGGCTGGACTGTTGCCATGCAACACGATAAAATAGTTTCCTGCATATCTGCTTTGTTTTTTTGTGACGATCAGTCCGGACCGTCTGTTGTAACATAACTCAACATTAACCAACCAGCAGACTGATGCACAAAGAAGTAAAACCCCCAGACTGTTAAACTGTGTATCATTGCTTGGTCAACTTTTTTTTACTGTCTATGCTTAAAAAAAGTTTTGCTAGGCTGAATATTTTATGAAACATTTTGGATAAACACAACAGAACATTAAGGATGGGTGAAGGTGTCTACACAGATGTTTATATTTGTGACTAATTATATTATATGTCTGAACACTGTGGAAATCAAGAAGTTCATTCATATATAAAAGAAATGATGAAATGACCAAGTATCTTAAGGAGCGGTGGCTAAAAATCACTGAGCAGATCATGATCACCAAATCTGCAGGTCCTCGCAACATCCCCATTTCTAACGCTTTGAATCTGATATTTAATTTAGATTTACTTATGTGTTTTGATAAAGTCCCAATCCCGGGTTAACTCTGGATTGAGGTGTGTTCAACATTTAAAATTCATGGATAGAGGAGAGTGGAGTGATTTTCTGTGGATGATTTTCTCTGTTCAAACAATCAAACAACATATATTAACATAAAATATTTCAATAAAGGGGGACCTCTTAAGTCAAATGGATTTGTAAATTTGTTAACTTAACTTACATCATCAATGCATCCACTTCAGGGCTTTAAATCATCACTAAATTTGGCTTTAGTTTGACAGCAATCTAATGAGATAATGTTTGACAATGAACCATATTAGAAATAATACAAATCAGGAGAATCCAACAAAATTTAGTTCGGTTTTGTCCATTTTCAACTCACATTCTGACTCCCTTTGTTCTCTGCTGATCCACGGTCAGGCTGCAAGAGGAAGAGAAGGCCTGAGGGCTGGGTTTTATGATGTTGGGGGTGTGGCTTGGCCTTGAGTGACAGGGGAGTCAGGTATGGTGATGGTGAGGCGAGAACTTGGGATTTAACAATACCGCTTTACTTTCTCAGTTGGGCCACTGGCTCAACTTACCCCAGAACTACTATTATGACTTTAGTGGTCCTCTAAGCTACAATTTTGACCTCATGTTGTAGCTCATAGATACCACAATATGATCTTTTTTGGTCTGAACACAATTCTAATAAAACTTATGACAAAATAAATTCACTTTCAAGATTGATTTTTTTTTTTTAAATAAATGTCTAACTCCTTCACCAATGTGCTTCTAACCTTCACAGACTCCATGAATTGATGCCCATCTCCTAAATATTTGGTCACATGATCAATTTCCAAGCAACAGGGGGTGGCTAAACTTACCCCACTCTCCCCTACTAGTCAACACAGCTGGTCAAAAAATAAACAGAGCCTAAAAATCATCAAAAAATGTGTAGAAATGCAATAAAAGGACATTTAGAAGCTTGGATAGGCTACAGTTTCAGGACTCTCATTTTGCAGTGACCAAAATGTCCCTCTGTTGACTGATAACCCAGCTGAAAAAGGTCACTTCTGTTTATTGATGAGCTGCTCGGGTTTGTTGCCAGGGGGCGTCACCGAGCAGCTAAGTCAGGTGAATAAGCTCCTATAGTTCACTCAGTACTCTTACAGAGAGAGCTGGAGGAGGAGCAGAGGCACACACACAGTGAGGCAGGTCGGCTCCGACACTGACACTAAACCTGAACGCTGTTTTTTCGCTTTTTCCTTCACTTCCTGCGGTTCGTGGAGTGAAGACGCGCGGAGCCTGCGGTGCTCTCTGCGATGTCAGCCTCTGTCAGTGGGCGGGATGGGAAGAGGAGAGGGGACTGTGCACACGGACGCTACCACCACGCTCGTGTCTGTTAATTCTTACCTGAAGACTATCAAGAAGCAGTCGAGGAGAAGCGAAGTGGGTGTTTGGTGTCAACTTTAGAGAAGCAACCTGTCTGCCCGGTGGATGTTGCGCAATGGAGATACGGACAAGACTTCGAGCCGTGCTGTTGGTAATATGGATCTCACAAGGTAAGCCAATTAATGCACGAGAGGGGCAGTAAGTCGCGTGCTGCCGTAAGTGGATCAAACAATACTTCAGTGGCAGTTTGTGTGAATCAGAGATAGTGATAAATACACGTTATAAACAACATTTACTTGTGTTAGTTTACTTTTCCTGAAATATCAATCAGACCCTCGATTTTTAGTCATTTCCTGTCTTTAAACGTCAATTTTGAGCAAATTAAGTAACACGTTTTCTCTCTTCATAGACTTGTACTTACTTTGGAGTGTTAGTGTGGTTTGTAATGATCACAATTTAAGCAAAGTACAAAAAAAGTCCTTTGTGCACTGGGGCTGTTTGACCTTTGACACCTCAGGGGTGTGAATTCATCAAATGTGCTAGGATGCTTCTGTAACTCTCATTTTTGCAATAATGAGCAAAAACATTTTTCTCCTTCATACAAAGAACCTCTTTACTCTTTACTTCCAACTTCAAATCTAGGGGCAACAATTCATGAAATATGTTATTTATATTTCTTTGGCTGCAGCTGCTTTTTTTTCCCCCAAACCAAAGGTCCCCTTTCAAGCACACAGCAGAGTACTCCTAGTCCTAAGAGGGCATAATGTTGTTGCATGGTTGAATGCTTTGGAATGAATTTTAAGGAAGTCTAATGTTGCTTTTTTCCTCATTCCTTAGATGGTTATTGTCCCATGTGAGGTTAAAAATAACACAGGGGCTACCTGAAGGAAAAAGATGTCTTCTTCTTTTGGAAATCACACACTTTGGATGTGGGTCACATCACATGATGGGCATAACGGTCTGGACCGAGTGTTGGCTGTCTACCAGAGCTTGCATATAGATAGGGGTGAATGCGGGGATAGAAATTGGCAGAGCTGCACATGAGTAACGCCATAAATTTCCCTCATAGACGTTACTTTTCTCATGCATTGCATGGCTTTTAGTTGACAATATTCAAATATAATGAGAGCTTTTGTCATTTTTGTCTGTTAATCGTCACTTTGAACTGCGAGCATTTCATTTGCAGCCAAAACTGAGAGTAGTTTTCCAGCTGGATGCTATTACTTCACATAATCACAAACAAACCCACGAATCTTGACAAGATGCGTTAAATCCTATTAATTTGCCTCTTTATATCAACGCATATGCTGCATCTTTCAGACTCTACTCAAAGAAGCCCTTCAGGCTCTTCTGACTTGGCCACTCTTGTTCCTGTCAACTTCGCTGCAGCATCATTTCTCACCAGATGTTGGCTTTCTTTCAGTGTGGAAATCAGAGATTGTTACAGCTTGTGTCTTTTATGTCAGGATTTGTTTGGTTCAAACTCGGGTTGGCTGTGGAGCAAGCCCTGGAAAAGGCAGAAATATGACATTAGATCCATCTTCAGCTTACTTCTGAATGCTGAAACCACTGAGAAAGATTGTGTGTTGCACTTTAACAAAACAGAGGACATCTGTGTGTGTGTTTTTGGAAGGTTTCTGCATGGACGCCAGTGTGGCGTGACGTTATGTGTGCTGTCCTTTGATTCGGTGTGGCTGCTAAATGGAATGAAACAAATGAATGAATTCACTTTGCGGCTCACCGGCGAACAACTTCAGTCGCTTTCAGTTCTTCTGATCGAACGGATCTCTTAATTTGCATGATGGATTTCTTCTCACATTTCTGACAGCGGCTAAGCTTCTCAGAGAAAAGAACTCCAATCCTGCCCGACAGAAACTTTATAATTAGTGAATTGAGAGGCTGCAGCAGCGAACCGCAAACTGGTATTGAAGAAACAGAGGCAGCTCGTTGGCTCTACATGAGAAGACCCGTAGCTAATTGGCTACTAATAAATCTCTGAATACTTAGTTTCGTTCAGGATCCTTTTATTATTTATGATCTGGGGCAGATGCTGAACATTTCCCAGAGTTTTATAACCACTGCCAGCGATAAATCATATTCTATTTGTACCATCCGCTGTGACGTATGACTGCTGTTCATCAGATAGCTGGAACTGGCCCGAGGACAGGGAAAAGGTGACTTTGCTCCTTGTCGTCTGAATGCACAGCTAGGTTGACATGCCAGCTCTCTCTTGTAAAATAAAGCCTTTCTTTTGGGTGGTGTTATTAAAATGTTGTCATGTCCGCAGATTATTGTGTTCAGTGACAGCTGGTTTGTAATGAAATGGGGGCCCTCTTGGCTCTGGTGTAAGCTGATGTTTGTGAGCCAGCTATATCCCTCTCCACAGAATAACTCAAAGCTTAGGGTAATTCTGATCATGTACCGCCAATTATCCAAACAAGAAATCAGCCAGTCAGAGTCGAGCACTGAAACAAAAAGCATCTCCAGCTGGGTGCTGAATACACCTTATAGGGTACAGCCTTTTTCAAGTAGCTTTTAGCTTTTCAAAGATTGGCAAAAATCAGTCTCAGTCATTCAGAGATCTGAAAGATATCTCAATGAAGACGCCTCTAATAACTTTGCGCCTCTATATGATAAAAGCACATGTAAAAGTGGGATGAATGCTGTAGAGACTGAGATTTTTGCAATCGCCACACAGCAATTTTCTTGCTTGGTGAATCAGCCCATTTCAGGGTCTGCTGGTTTGGTGAGTTTTCAGCCTCTTCTGGTGGTCATCAGCGGACAGTTTGCTCAGCCTCCGTAAAAAAGGCTTATTTGTTGCTGCTGAGCATTGAGTAAACACCACTAACAGAATTTAACAGGGCTGTCACCCAAAATGTAGTTTGATCTAATGTGAGCTAAAATTTCACCTCCCACGGTTTGGCATTATGTGAACCACAAAATACAACCCTCATAGTGTGAAATACTCTTAAACTATCACTAATACTTTTTGAGATATGAGTCCCACAATCTTAGTGCACATTGGCCTTGGAAGAAAGACCATGCATGCTCTGTTTTGTTCTGAGGTGCAGAAGTTGTTTGGTTGTAGAGACGGGGGATTGATCGGTCAGGTCGATTAATCAGTCAAGGGTCATAGTGGGTTAATATTAGGGGCTGTGGGGTCCAGTGGGGATGCTTGGGTTGCAGAACTAGCCTGCATTTTTGTAAAAGTAAGGGATTGTTTTCACTGACTATCATGAAGTCAGATTTCCGACCTGGAAAGTCGGACGATCCTCACCAACCTCAACTTGACGACAACGTCATGATTCAAGATGGCAGCGCAGTGCATCAGCATTTAAGAGTAACAGTTAAAGCTCTTGTAATGTAAAATTTATTAGCACTTCTGTTTTGTTTTTGTGAAATTAAATAAATAAATGGTATATGTTACGATAAACCACTAACAACAACTGACAGTGTCTAACGACGGCTGACAATTGTAAACAACAGCTAACAACAGCTAATGTAGATGTCCATCTTGGTTTTCCGACTTGTCAACTGAAACGCTGGTAACTCAAGTGTGATGTCATTCCCAGCTCCAATATCCGACTTCCGAGGTAACTGGAACGCAGCATTATGCTGCGTTTGAGTTACCTCGGAAGTCAGAAGTCCGAGCTGAAAATGACGTCTCACCCGAGTTCCCAGTGTTTAAGTTAACAAGTTAGAAAAAGCAAAATCAGAGGCCTGAAACAAGATGGCTACATCTAAGAAAGTTATTTTAGCATCTGCCTTATATTCGGACAAGGCAAGCACTAAAATAACTTTCACTGATGGAGCCATCTTGATTCTACCTCTGATTTTCCTTTTTTCCGACCTGGTAACTAAAACAACTCAAGAACTCGGGTGAGATGTCATTCCCAGCTCCGATATCCAACTTCTGAGGTAACTGGAACGCAGCATTAGTCTCAGATGAGTTCTTATCAACTGTTGGCATGAGTTGGCATGGCAACAAAGCGTTGTATTTATGAGTTCTCTGTGAATCAGACTTTAAATTTCTATTTGAACAAAGAAATAATCTCCCAAATTATCGTTTTATTGTACCAAGAGAAAGCTGTAAGACAAAGTTGGCCACCAAACTGGAGTCCATCACCCTGATGTGTCTGTTAGCCGTGCCAAGGGGTACATTTCCACAACAGCAGTGTCTTACTGGCCCTTTATGTGGAATTTAATAGGGCTAAAGCTATTACTAAATCCACTGCGATGTTTCTCACTGCAGGCACCAGGATATACCCCTGTCTGGAAAACAAAGGGTTTAAAAATATGATTAAATTGCTTGAGCCAAGCGGCGAAATCCCCCCCCCTTGCACACCCCTTTCAGTGGAATGTGCAAGGTTTTTTTATGAAAGGATGAAGTCAAGATTGTCTATAAATTATCTATTGTATCCTCCGCTGACCCTGACACAAAAGAGTTAACCTCCAGGGCAGTGGAACGTTACATGACCATGACCATGCTCACTGCACAAATTGCAGAGTGTGATCTACAAAGTACGGCGCTGCGTACTCTCAGTGAGACTCTCAGTGGGGAAAATCTGGCACGGGTACAGGAAAGAGCAGAAGGAGAGGGGCTCAATAGCATTAGCAGAGTCACCGAAGATTGAGGCTGTCACATTGTCCAGAAAATCAAGATTGAATGTCTGGAAATGACATGAAGAATTTCTGAATGGTTTCAAATGCCTGTTTTTCTATCCGCCCTTGAATTTTGAAAGGGTCACTTCAGCTTCAGCAACTTCATATATAGATTTTTTTCCCCCAGCATGCTTGATTGAATGCCCACATTTTGATAAAAGTGACTGGTATACAAGAAATGCCAAGAACAACGTCAGTGCGGGGGTTTAAAATTGGACTGTCGCCAATTAAAAACTTCAGACACGGGATGAAACGAGCGTCCCAGATCTTGCAAGGCAGTGAAGAGGTTAAGAACAAATACTAGACCAAAGTAAAGGAGCAGACATGGAGGCATCTCTGCACAGGCCGTGAGACTTTGGAAAAGCTTTTCAAGAAAACTCCGTGGAGTGAGGACACAGGCAAGACCTGAGCCAGCGCCGTCAGAAGAAGTGGAAACCTACAATGTAGTGAGCTCTACTCCAGTGACTGGTGATCCTTTGGCATGGTGGAAAAGAAATGAACTGAATACCCTCACTTTGGCATGATGTTAAGACACTTCCTAGCTGTGCTTGGCAGCTCAGTTCATAGAAAGATGGAGCCGGGGACATAGTGACTGCAAAGAGGCTTACTCACTCCCAAACAATGTAGACTTCCTCGTCTTTTTGAAATTTGGAAAAAAAGAAAACCTCTTGATTTAAGCTCAGCGCTGCTTTGCTTTCAATCTCTCTTTTTTGCTTTCAATCTCTTTTTCGCCTCGTGGTTGATGTGGACAAGGCCTGTCAGAGCCACGTTGAAAGGGAGAAAGTTTGACTCCCTTTCTTGCACTTGAATTTAATCATCATGCTTTGAATATTTTACGAGCGATATTTTAAGATTTTTGAATGATTTTTTCATTTGGGACTACGGACAGAGGTTCTTTTCCTCGAAGTTATGAAGTCTTTCCCAGTTAGATCTGCAAACAAGGTCATGATTACTCATCCTATCGTAACTTTCAGGTTTTTACTGCACGTTATTATCCTTTCATCATGATTATCATTTGATCCCAGTGCAGAGAAGGGAGTACGTGTGTGGTACTTACACAAATAAAGAATGATCTCAGCCTCTTCTACACGGTTAGTTACACAGCTTATTAATTAAACACAGCGTCACATCTGCACTCCTCGACAGCTGGGGTTGTAGAGTTAGTTTCTGGCGGAGTGCAACAGGTTAAGCAGTTGCACACACGTACGAGCAGAAGCCTCTTCACGGCTCCTTGGATTGTGTGATTATTGATATAGATGCAGGCCGATCAATAAGACTGTATCCTAACATTGATTGGTGAGCTATTCTGCCTGTGAAATGGATGCAGGAGTAACTGGATGAAGACATCAACTTAAAAAAGACACTATAACATTAATAGGAACAAAAAACAATGGAAAGATGAAGCAAAATTTGGTGGAGATCAACAAAGTCTGTCTGAGGAACAAACTAAACTAGTTTCCTGAAGGTTTGTTCAATGCATCAGGCTAGGGCTGGGCGATATGGCCTCAAATCAATATCATGATATGTTGAGCAGTTCACCTTGATAACGATAAATAGACGATAACTAGTCCACAAGCTGCTCACCCCCTCCCACATTAACTTTGTCTACTTCAGCCACTACAACTTTTTGACACGTCCTTTGTCTCCTCACCTGTCTTTCCCTCTTGGTGGGTGAAGTCATGTCTCCGACGCAGGACAGCATCTTAAAAGGACATGAGACCATAGCCTACCTACCTTCCCTTTTTTTTGACATCCAATATATATTGACATGGGCAAAATGACGTCGGTTATTGTTGTAAATTTTGGTATCTGTAAATTTTCGGTTTATCGCCCAGCCCTACATCAGACACTTGAGGCTGTAGATTTAAGATTGGACTGTGGGCCTTAGCTGAACACTTGATTCTCCAGATGTCCTCATATTTTATTTCCTACTCCAGTTTAATCATAAAAAGCTGCTCGGACAAATATTTTTCAAGTTTATGAAAGTTTGTAAGTTTTTTTGTGCCATCACCGCTTCTTGTAAGCCGCAAAATCTGCTGTAGAGAAAACAACCTGATGCTAAACAGTCTCTGAGTCACTTTGTTGAACTGAACTCATCCTCAGTGACTCAGTCTGCTGATTTGTCACCAGTATCTGTAGTTGCATTTGTTAGCTTGTGCCTACCTTTATGTGGGTGTTCAACAAGGTTTGATTTAATTGACGAGAGTCCACATAGTATGTCGCCGAGGACCCCCGCAGAGGGAGCACACACTGATTGGAGACAGAACCAGAAGGTGTTACCTAAAAGACTCCCTCATGGAAAACTAGGCCAAATTAATTGGCTCACGTTGGACACACAATTGAGAGGACAGCGGTGCTCAGATTTTTTTTTCATGCTCCTGCACACACCAGCTGCTGCATGTCCGACCTCACTCTGCATTCAGCAATGGCGGCAGACGACGGGGGTGACAGGTGCTGATTGGAGCTGTGCGTGCAGTCTAATCGAGCTGCTGTGACTTTGAGGCAGGTGATCAAAACAATGTGCATGTGCTGACTGATCTTTGAAAGGATTGGAGACTAAGTTAACACAGACACAGTTCTAAGGGCTGACTCCCTCACCCTTCTGCCTTCCCCCTCATTATAACAACAAAAAAACAACGTACTTCTTCGTTTTCAAACAGTCAGCAGCTTCCTTTTTTCTCTCCCTCCTGCTCCAAAGGTAATGTAATTATATTTTAGTCGAGCACGTTTCAGCTGATGCACATTAAACAAATGTTTTCCCTACTTCAGACAGAAAAATATAGCACACGATGTTAGCCAATATGTTCGCCAAAGCTAATCAGCATTTCACCCGCTGAATGTCTCGCTTTGATGTTTTGAACTTAGCGGTTTGCTATCCACAGCACACTTTTACAGTCCAATAACAGACGTTCTGCTTATACTGGGGGGAATAATGCAGAACATTAGTATTGATATGCAAAAATGTGTGAGGACTCAGTCATTCATGGCGGCGAGATCTGTTTTCAATCTCTCTCTTAGACCTGCAGTTATCAATTTGGTTAGGAAAATGAAAATACTAGGGTGGGGACAACTGATTCAGAGGAGGTGGGCTGTAAAAATAATACATACATTTAAAAAAATATGTGGCTGTGTGGCTGTGGAATTAATATAGTTTGAATTGCAGTCTGGATTTTGGCTTTCCCTCAATAATAAAAGGAAAATATCATATTTTAAGACAAGCATGACCCTATTTATCTTCTTTTTTCTTTACTTTTATCTGCCTAATCTATTGACAAGATTCAGCAGCACCAACTTCTCATGTTTTCGGTTGCAGTACCACCCTGACAACAGGTGATCTGCATATTGACGAGACCTGTTATTGATTACAGCTTTAATGAATCTCACCAATCCCAGACTGAGAGTGCAGACTAACATCTTTAACTTTAAGCAGCTGGGAGCAGGAACATCAGGAGGTGTGTGTTAGTTAAGCAGAGGCACAAAGAAGGACAGGTGCTGTATAACAATAAACATAAAGAATATCTTAAATCGATAATTAATCGTCTTTTATAATAGTAATCTCAACATTGATCTGCATAATTATGTTTATGGTTTTGCTGCAGCGTTACATGATAAAATAATAATAAAAGGAAGATCCTCTCACATGCTTTGCAGAGAAACAAACACACAGAGATGTCCTCTTGTACCTCCTTTTTCTAACTGCAGTTGAGTTTGGCCTCTAACTTCTTTTTCTGGTTCACAGGTTTTTACGATCGTTTCTAGTACAAGTCACACTGTGAACGACGTGTCTCTTCACAGCTCACCTGCTATGACACCTGAATCCCTAAGGAAAATACACTTTTTGCTACTACATGAATCAAACTGCTGATGACGTTTATTTGCCATTTCAACGGGGGATATTAACTCCCCTCTTCGGTTTTGTCTGGGGCAAAACTGGTCCTCCTGCTGGGGTAGTGGCTTTATGTATACGTGCATGTCTGAGTGTGTGTGTATGTGGTGCTACTGCTGTGTGCCAACAAGTTGAGCTAATGCATCGTCATAATAGGATATGAAATCACATGCTAGGAAATCAATACTAAGCTGTTTCAAGGTGCAATGTGGCGAAAGTCCCGGCATATAAGAGGATAGTGTATGTGTAAAGATAGCTACATGTGTTTCGAACATTTTTACTGTATATTTATGCCTTTAATTTGTATTTGAAAAATTGGACAGTTTTACGAGTGGGTAATCAGCTGTGACCCAGTGAGTCACACTCTTCTTTCAGCTTCCCCAGCTTCTCCCTGTCGTGGGCGAGAGATGAGGTACAGCCCCGGACAGGCCACCAGTCAATCACAGGAAGGCCACATCGACAGACAACCTGGTTATAGTCAGTCAGATCCACACCTACGTCCAGTTTAGAGCCACCAGTTAACCTTCGTGTGGGAGGAAACTGCAGGCACCCACACAGCAGGAAGAGCATGTGCATCTGTTTATGTCGCTCCTTTGAATCTATATTTAAATCTACATAGGGAGTCGTAGCAGCTTCAGGTGGTCGATACGCCGCACGACGTTGCGGTCTGACATAAATGTGTCACTTGTTGTCACCTCTTGAACTCATGTTCTGTCTTCATGCAGCTAATGATGTGACTGCTGTTGACCAGTCCTGTTTGTCCACCGCAGAGACAAGAACATTAAAAGTCATTCCAGTCTTCCCACTCTGCCAATTATATTGTTCTTTTTGCGTTTTACTCGTACAGCCTCTGAAACATCAATGTTCTGTAAAGCATGTATGTAAGCCGTGTTGCATTTGTGCTTAGCGTCTGTTTGCCTGCTGATTGTGGACCATAAATGATGCATCTCAGAGGAGTGTGTCATTTAAACCCCAGGCGTGGGCGAGGATGGAGATCATTTGGACCAGGTGCACCCTGGGAAAATGGCACACACTAATGAGGAACAATCCCTCTTTAAATGAGACCTTTGCTCTTGCTTGAAACCAGCATGTGAACTTCAGAGAAGAGGCTTTTAAACACACACATTTACAACACAATGTGCTAACCTATCGAGACCGCCGTTCGTGGCGCGAGAGCGGCATTAACCTGCTGAAATTAATTTTCAGGCATTTTTCGCAATTCATCACAATTACGCCGCTCGTGTCGCTAAAAAAGAAGCAACAAAAGTGTGATTGCAAGAGGTTTTTACTCTCGGCTCTTGCTGTTTCATCAGCAATTTAAAAATGTTTGCTTTTATCCCAAAAGGAAGATTGATTTTCAAGGGTAAAATGCGTGGAAACTGCTGGTCTGCGGAAAAAAATTGTCTTTCTTCTCTTGACTTTGTAGTGCAGGTGGGAACTAGGCTGTCTGGTAGGAGCAGATGAGTTTCACACTAAGACGCTGGAAGATTATAGTCCTGCCTGGCTCTTATAGTAAAGCAATAAGGGGATGGGATTTTTTTTTCCTGAGGTGTCATTGGGTTGGATGGGTTTTCTGCTGCGCCGTTGTGGTGATAGGTTAGTTTTAAAATGGTGGGTGATGGCCCCTGTGAAAGGATAGAAGTGGCGCGTTTTCAGGCAGGATGGTTCGGTCTGAGCAGCGAGGGGAGATTAGTATTCATTGAGGAGCGAGAGGCATCCCGGCTCCTTTCTCCTGTTGCTCGACCGTCTCGCCAGATGGAGGGGAGGGTTTTTGCAGCCAGATTAATGCTGTCATCTGAGGTGTAACCTGGCCTTACAGGCTTCAGGCGTGGTTATGGGAGGCTAAAGAAGGTCCTTTATGTCAATCCTGCTGTTGAAGCGACTCAGGCTGACAGGCCGCAGTTATTCCCCCTCGCAGATTAAAACTGCATTGCTTTGAAATGTTACTCTCATGTGGTTCTCTCCACAAAGAAAGCTTTTCTCTCTGTTTTTTTCTATGGAATAATGAGAGCAGAAATGGTTCTATTTTACCGGTAGTTGAAGGTGCTTTATAACTCTAATATCCAAATAACATGTTATCGTTTTACAGCCTCTTTAGTTGGCGATGTCTGCTTGGGTGCTGCTTAGATTCTAATGTCTAATAAACCTAAATCATAAAACTAATAAATGTCAACAAATATTTAAGAGGTTGCTAAGAAACTGATGAGATATTTATGGCTTCCAGAGGATTTACCCTGATAACTTTGCTGCTTTCAGGATTTTTCACCTCCCTGAGATTAATACTTTTTGATATATTGTGACATCTGCATTGCCATTTCTTTCTGGATGTACTCAGGATCCTTAGACCCTTAGAAGAATAAAAGGGTGGTAATATCCTTTATTTGAGTTTTTTGGCATCCGTAGAATAGACTGATATTTATATTAATGGATTTTTATGATATTCAGAAGCATACAAGACCATCAGTGACAGGATTGAGGGTTTTGATTTAGCAATTTTTCATGTCCCAAACTGGTGTGAAGGTAGGTGTCAGACAAACAGCTGAAAAAACAGTCTTCTTTTTTTAATTTTAAATAAAATAGTCACAATAAATGATGCATTTGACTGTCACTAATTATCAGGTTGAGATTTTTTTGTCATAGAAACAAATTGCACTTTGTCCACAGGGGCCGCCAAATTCACACCCATCTAAAGTTCCTCACAGGAGCTTTAAAAAATACTCAAAAGTCATCTTAATGTTTAAATACCAACAATTTGAAAATTATCTGCAAAGTAAAACTGATCAAGAAGTGAGTATTTTGCTTGTCATCGTGAGAAGTGCACATCAGTGAATTGTGGCTTATCTCAAATTAATTTAAATTTCCTAAAACTGAAGTCTTTGTGCACAAAAATTACAATGAGTATCTCAGATAATGGGAAACTGAGATTAAAGCACACCAGGATAACTAAGTATTTCATATTTATGTGTCAGTTTTACTCTACTATGATTTTCTTTCCCAAGAAAATCAGAAAATTGCTCAAAAATATCTCTGACATATTTGGAATTTGAGTTCCTGGTGATTTTGTGGCATTATTTTTAGAGCATTTGTCATTATGACAGCTGAAAATGGCTCCCATACCAAAGAAATTCAAGATAAGCTGGCATGAAATTTCAACCAGAAATATGATATTAAAATGTCAAGGTTCCAATTTTCTTAGCCTTCTTTCACCAGCTTACCATGTAGTAGTATGTCGCCCCAAATCCTCTGACGCTGGTCTTTGTTGGTTTCCATAAATCCCTCTGCTATGTTTTCCTTCCCTCAAGTGTTTATTACAGCTGTGACATCAATCTAGCTCCTGGATCAAATTTTCACCCTGTTTGGTCCCTCTGGTGGTGAAGCAATTGCCATTCGAATTAAAACCTCGGGGGTGTTGACCCTCAAAATAGAAACAACCTACCAAGCAGAATATAAGGCTAGACTGTATTTTATAATCTCAGTGATCTGTCAAACCGGGGAATAATTGGCTCTTTGGGATCACTGAGAATTGAAGGCGGGTAGAGTAATGACCTTACCATCACTTGAAGTGATGCTTCAGCCTGTAAGCCTCCACACATGTTATTAGTCTAAGCGAAGAGATTTGAGAGGAGAAATTCCATCCCAGAAACATCAGGACGGTGTGATTTCCCACACAGAGAGCATCTCTGTCCAGACGAGAGTCACATCACAACAACATAAGAGCCTGTTTTTCTTTGTGCACCAGTAAGATTACAAAAATGTCATGTAACTTGAATTCCCCTGAAGAGAGGAACGAAAATACCTCACATTACTACTACTGTATTTTTGCTTTATCATAACACACATCATTCAAAAGCTGCTGAGAGAATGTACAGAGAATTTTTACATTTTATTGACACTGATCTCAAATGATCAGGGTTTCTTAGGCTGCAGCTTTTTCTAATTCTGTTACTAAACCTCAATCACAGCCTTTTTATTGATTTTCCTAAAATAAAATCACAAGTATAGATTAAAACTGTGGGCAACAAAAGGGAAGAAAAGCAGCATTTAACATTTTTATCGCAAACTCTTTTCATCTTAATCTCAATCCAGTTAGATTTTTTCAAGGATTAATGTTTCCTGACCATAAATTAGTTTTTTAATAAATGTTCTCTCTGATTTTTCAATCATACGGACATGTCAAAACCAGATATATTGATGAGTCTAGGGGTTATTTAATTTCATTTAATTGAATTTTATTCTAAGTGAAAAAGTATAGAGAGGGTGGTTTTGCAAATTACAGTTCTACCCTCAAGGGTCAGCATTTAATTTTCACCAAACATTATACCACTTATTCCCTGGCCACCGAATAAAGACATAAACAAGTTGACACAAAATATTGATTTAAAGCTCCTGTGGGGAACCTTTGATTTGATAACCCTGTTGTTTGTCTTGTTGTCTACATGCTTGGGTAGTGATTTTTGAGAAAAACACTCAAATGTATCTTTCATTGTGAATATTTATGTGTGAATTTTAAAACAGAGCTGTTTCTGTAGCTGCTCGGCTGACACCTATCACTCAAAAACAAACACAAAAAAAACAAAAATCAATACATTTTTCTGCATTAAAGGATTTTTACTTCACTTCAACCAGAAACAAGACAAATACCAGAACTTTTACTGTTGTTGTTTTTATTTGTTCTACATTTTCCTGAAGTTACTGTGTGATTGATAACCTCTCACCAGCTCTTCTGTCGTTGTGAAATCGTACGAGGACAGGATCTTGCTCCACTTTTCCATGTCAGTGTCTCCACAGTCTGCCTTCATATCTTTGCTCAGTGACTATCATTCCTCTCCAGACTCTCATGACTCGCCTGAGATTGAAACTTGTTTTTTTTTTCCCACATTTTCAAAAGGCAGAGGTGAAATGTGTTGGAGTCCTTTCTGCATCCTGATTTGATACGACATGATCAGGCTGGCTCTTGCGTTGCTTTTGCTGTTGAGAACTTTTAACTGTTGTCATGGAGTTTTGACCAGTCGGAGTCAAGATGTCTGCAGTGCAACAGTGATGAGTTTTTGCTTACATAAGCTGTGAAGCCAGAGAAGATAAAGTTGTGTGGTGGAAAAGATTTTAAAGTTATGTCATATTTGACAACCCTGAACTCCGTTAGCTTAAACATGTACCAGCAAACATTCCCTGCCCCATGAAGCCTTGTATCTTCTTCAGCGAAGGAGCAGCAGACAGTCACGCACTAAGTCACATAAATTAGGGTCTATACAGCAGGTTGAACATAATGTTGTTGTTTTTTTCAGGTGGGGAATTTTCTCATTTCTATTTCCAGCCCAGAGGTTGGTTGGTTCGCTAAATTGATCAGGTGAACACAGCAGCTTCTAAGAAACCTGCTCACACCTGATAAGCCCAGTAACCATGGCACCACCTGTACCGGCACAGCTCAGACATCACATATGCCTCATTTCAGATAGGAAGGTGAAGTCATAGACTTTCCCTACAGTCAAGTTTACGGCTAAACAGTTGATATTATTCTGACACCTGAGGGTATAGTGATAAGTAATACTGTCTCCTCCTCTCAGATATGACTGTGCTAAGTAGTTTTCAATCTAAACTAATCAAAATGTGGGTGCATGTTCAGCGATTAATGTAAATCTCTATTTGCGAGAAGCTGATTTATATTCACAGGAGGAGAAATCTGCCTCCTTCAAAAGCTGTTTCATAAAAATCTGATTCCTCTTTTGAAGGTTACTCCCTCTGTTTTCAATTTGTGGTAAAGCTGCTGACATTTTCAACCTAAGCGTGAGATTTACCAGGGAGTGAGTGAGGGTTCAGAGGGCCGAGTTAAACTCTGAATACGTACTCCATCATTGCCGAGGGCCTTCAGAGATCAAATCTCTATCAAATCAAATGAGATAGCAGTGCAGAAGTACCTTCAAACATACTGTTGTAACTTCGCAGAGATCAGAAGCCTCAGAAAACTTCATAAAATAGTTTAGCAAATAATTAATTCAATATGTATGCACCATATTTTGACTCTACGACAGCAGTGGGTATTTACATTGAGGTAGGCAGTATGTGTGGGCCAGGAAGGGCTGCTCTAAAAACTGTTTAGGAACCAAAAGAGCCAGTCCTTGTTAAGCCAGATGATCTGGACGACTCAAAGGAGCAGGAATTCCCATCAGTAGTATCGTCTGCATAAACAGTTTTCATCAAAAAGAGAGTAAGGATCCAAACTCTGCCCTTGCAGAATAAGATGGATCACAGGCTAGTGATGGGCACGGCAGTTCTCATAGATGTACTGAATCACTAGAATCAGTTCACTAAAAAGATTTGTTCACCAAATCACAGAATCATTTAGCGGGAGAAGCTTGCAACTCCGACCTCCTGAACTGAAACACAGCTAAACGTTTTAGGATTCAGTTTAATTCATAGCTTCTGGGACCGGGAGACGGGAGTGTTTGGCTGTGTTGCTTTGACTAACAGGTTTGTAAAAATGAACTTGTTTATAAGTCATGAAGTTTTTAGTGTACTGTCTTATGGTATGCTATTTATCAGGTCTGCTCGGTAAGTTGGGCTCAGTGAGTGATTCGTTCACTGACCGTTTAGAAGAATTCACACTGAACATGAACCGTTCCCTCGCAAACCGCTGCAATGATAGGATGCTGCGGGTTTAACGCACTACTTGTTGCATGCTGTGTCCTATTGTATGCAAGCTGTTGTGGCGGCAATTTAGCAGTGAAGAACAGGTAGTTTTGTCCGACAAAAATGATTCCAGAGAGTGTAGTTCAATGCTTGATTCATTCACCAAATGATTCAGGCGTCGGTGCATGCGGTCTCTCGTTTGCCGGCTGCTGGCCTGGCAATGCTGTTTCTTACTTCAGCGCAACTGAAATGAGAAACGAACTAATCACTCAAGGAAGTGATTCGAATCAGTACGTTCACTTAAAAGATTCAGTTCTTTTGAACGAATCGTTTGCGAATGACACAACGCTATCACAGACAACTTGAGCACAATCATAAAACCTTTGTGATTTTGAAGTGACCAATGATCACTGTCCCGTTCATTCAAATTGGTTTTCTGTAAAACTCATGTTACTTGAAGCGTTAACTTAAAATCTTTTTTTTTTTTTCCTGTAGAAAACAGCACCATCTCCTCGACAATATACAGTGCCTATAAGGCGTTAACGTCTGTCAAGTTCAGTGTTGTTTGGTTTCACCAACTCAAAGCTGTTGGCTGGCATTAGCATCATCTGCTCCGCTACTCTTTGCTGGAAGGGGCAGCAGCTCTGCCTCAACAGCTGAATGGTAACTTACAGCCGGGTAATGATTCTCTGTGGGTCCATCACTTTAAGTCACCCATTTAATCCATCAACCATATAAAAATGTTGAATTTTTGTTGAATGTATTCACTAATTGACCATTAATCTTGTTTAATATAAAAAAGGGCATGTTAAAAGCATTCCTGAAGGAACAGATTTCAGCTCTCTCAGTCAAACCTGGTTTTAAAGGATTTGTACATATTGACTGAAAACAAAGCAGGTTTTAACAGCTGCTTTTCAAAGTTTCTAAAAGAGTAAAACCTTATCGTCAGTTGCTTTCAATATATTGTTATTCAGTTTAAGCAGAAAAAAAGCTCTTCATGCCCTCATAATTAACAGTGCTCCAGTTTCATATCACAGTTTGTGATTAAAACGACAATTCAGACTCAAACATCTGCTGGTTTTGTACCATTTTATAAAGTATTGAATTATTCATTCATTCGCCTCCACACTGGAACTTACTCATTACTGGAAAGCAGAACAAAGTATAGACAGATATCCTGCTGGAGTTTTCCCTAAAAAAATCCTGGAGTGATCCATCTGGACTGATTTTAAATGAGTAGATTAGTCCTGTAGTTACAGAAATCACAGCACTGCAGTTAAGTGCAATACTAGATGAGTGGCTCTATTCAACAATCACCGAACATGAAAAGGAGGGTTAACACAGGCAAGTGATTGAAATAACAGCATGCAGTTTCCATAAAGGTGCAGGTAAAAGTGTGCAGTTTTGTTATCGAGGAATAGTGTTATATAGTGAATACCACGACCCAGCTGCAGGTGTCTTTTTCTGTTTGTTTGGAAATAACAAGGTGGGTTGAAGGGGAAAGTGGCAGTTTGACAACAGTTAGACCTAAATGGTTGGGCTGAAGGGTCGGACAATCGTTTGCACCCTCAGGGGCTCGCTTGTGTTCCTAGAAAACAGAAAGTGGCTTTAAAACGAAGGTTAGACCGGCAATTTTCACCAGATTATTGATTCAAGGCACAAACCCAACACTGCTGGCTGGATGTGTCTCACACGGTCATGTCAATATGGTCAGAAAAACATAATTAAGTCAAGTATTGATGAGTTGTCGACCACTTACTTGCTTTTGTTAAAAAAAGAAGCATCAGTAAGCATAAGTAGAAGTGAAGCTTAACATGATTTGGCTAAGGAGAGATGCAGGAGTGGCAGCTGGTTATAAGGGATCATTGACAAGCAAATATGGAGTACTGAGAGTCAGTCCGATTCACTGATGACTTGAGTATTGGCTACATTCGATCCAGGATGATGGAGAGAAGGACTTCGACTTAGTTATTGATTGAGGCTGTTTTTGTTAGCTTTAGATGTATCGCCCCACTTACTTGTTCACTTGTGAGCAACGTCTCTTCACGATTACCGTTCATGTGCCGTCAGGTTGAGGTACAGTGACTGCCAGGATGCCTAACTCTAGCCCTTAACATAAAAGTGAAGGTGAGAGTAATATTTCTGAAAGTATTAAAGGTGGAGTAGGCAGGATCTGAGGAAGTGACAGTTTTTGGGAGAAATCTCAGAAATGAAACAGATAGTAACACATAGAAACTGTGAACAAAACAGTAAACACGTGTGAATGAACTTCATCATGATTAATAATGGATTCTAAATACTCACATTCAGATTATTCAGTGACAAATGGTTAAAAATACTAAATAAACAACTAAAATATAAATCAAACATTTCTAAAGCATTCCTGTTACTTAGAGTAAAGTTATGATTCATACTCAATAAATTTAACTCTTAAAAGTTGATGAAACAGTCTGAAAAGCTGTTGGTCTAAAGAAATCGAAGAATAAGGATTTATTCTGTCGGAGTGGTAACTTGGCTTCTGGAGCACATAGAAAAATGGGAAACATCTCATTTTAACACAAATTTCATGATTAGACAGATTAGTACATTGGTGAAAGAATACAAATGACTGATCATGACATCTTATGCATTCAGCAAAGGAATGCAGTTCTTATCAGAACATAGTTGAGCAGGGTTTTACGACCGATGTCTGGAGGTCAGTGTCCTGCTCCTCAGACCTTATCTTGGGGTCCGTATGTTTAAGACAGTAAATCACAAATGGGAGATCTGGGCTGAGGCGTTAATGTTTATTCAGATGGTCAGTGATGGAGTTAGTTTGAAAGGTAATAAAAACTCTGTCTCTGTTCTCCGAATTGACCAATCGTGAAGAGTCAGAGGTTTGGTCAACCTCCGGTCGTGTCAGTTAGGTAACCTGAAAGTGCAAAACAAGTCTGGAAAGATTTATATCCTGTGTCATGGGACCAGATAAGGAAACTTTCCTGCGAGGAATGTGTGAGTTTTACACACAGGGTTGTCTTGATTGCTACACAGGCATAACAAATCACAGCGGTATCATTATATTAACAAATGTCATCAATAACTAATAGCTATTGACTGATATTAAAAGCTGTTTTTGAATCCTGCCTACCCCATCTTTCAAGAGCATAACTTAAAAATGATCAAAACTACAGTTTTTTTTTTTTGCTCATGTTTTTGTGCAATGATTAAAAGACACAAAAACCAAAGCACAAAATTTGCCATCAAAACAGCAAACAATAACAATAATTTAAAACACTTATAATACAAGCCAAAAAAGACCATGTTGAATAGACCAAAGTTTGCTTGTTGACATATTTAAAATGTCAGTTTTTAAGGAGGGGAACTTCACAGGAGAGACTCAAGTTGTTAAATAGTGGTGCCGAATAATCATGCATTAATATACAGGAAAAGGTTTACTTAGTCCAGTGGAGATGAGGTTTTCTGCAGAGGATTAGGGCCACTGGGAAGAAAAGGTCCTATTTATTTCTATATATGTTTATATAAGTCAGAATTCAGATGTTTTTTTTCCAGAATAATAATCATTATATATACATACTGGACCTCATTTTTTTTCTATCTAGTCGCCCTAATCCTCTTCCGTAGTTTTCAATCGTAAAGTGTGTGAATCATTATTGGAAATCATCATCAATCACACACCGTGCTCACCACCTGCTTGATCTCACTATTATAATGGGATTGTCTCTTGAGTCAAAGGACGGTGTGGTCATGATATGATGTATTTCTTGTGTACGACTTTTGCACACACACACACTAACCCCCCCTCTTTGCTAAAGCCAGCTTGGGCTGATAATAAGATTAGAGCACACAGAGGCAGCTTAGTGACCTGGCCTAAGACGCGGTGATGGTTTATCCAGAGCGGCTGCAGATAGACATGATTGGGGAAAGGAGCAGGAGTGTGGGCGGGAGGCTGCCGAGGTCAGAGTGCATCAGGAGCCACTCAGTCACTGTGCAATTGTGCCTGTAGAGTCACTCTGTGCTGGGTGTTAATTGCCACTTAAGAGTCACTAAAACTTACCCATAAAACACCTCCTTAATGCACCTAACTTAATTATATGTCTGTTTTTTTACACAAACACTCTCCATCCTTCATCCATAACCACCACCTCCACAACAAACACAACATCACCTCCATCAGTGTCCTCATCCATCCAAACCAATCAATGCTCTGTCGGACTGAGGGGAAATTAAAGCTTTAACCCTTTTGCTGCCACACACATAATTGAGGAACCAATGAGAAACAGAAATAAAGTAAAAGCAGTGAAGAGTTAAAGTTTTTTTTTTCTTCTGATAACTAAATCAAAATACCTCTTAGACATAAATTTAACTTATCAAATATATCAACAACATATAGAGCATGTGTAAGACAGTTGATTTTATGTATATATGCTGTGATTTTAACATCATAAAGTGTTTCACTTTTTCTGCACCTTCCCAACCAAAAATGGGATAAATGATTTGGATTTTGCTGACTGACTTGATTGATATCTTAAAAAAAAAAAATCAGTGATCACCTTTTTATAACCATTTGTCTTGTTTATGGGGGTTATTTTTAGCCCTTAATAGCTTGGGCAGCTGAAAAAAGAAATGGTAACAGGGTATGTGGGGAAGAGTGAGCTGGAAAAGACATGCAGCAAAGGGTAAAGGTCAGGGGTTGAGCCAATAACCCCTGCAACAAAGACAGCTGCCTCAAAGCTGCAGTGTAATCGTTAACCACTAGGCTGTGCTGTAGCGCTGGTTTACTCCACCTACCATAACACTCTGATGCTAAATTGCTATAATGCTCTACTACCCGGATGTAAACAAGCACAGATTTCAGTCTGGCCAGGTTTAGTAGTATTCATGAATTATATAGCAGAGAACATGTCCTCGACATAATTTGCAGTGCACATTACTCTGCCTCATGTCCAACATCAACAAACCAAAATATCTCCATACCACCAACGTTTTTGTACCACTGTTTTCGCCGATGTTGTCAACTGTAGAGCCTTAACCTGCATATCTGTGCTTCCTGTTACTACTAAGTTATTCGCTACTTGGTTCTAATTCAGCACATGATTGGTTCAGCGCAAAGCAGACCTGGAGCAACTCCCCTTTTTACTGGCTATTCGTAAAGTCTACCAAAACATGGCAGAATGACGACTATCAAAAAGAATATTGACCATGTTTTATATTGATATTGAGGGAAATTAATTCTCAATATATATCGTTTTATCGTCCAGCCCTTGTGTCTGGTTAAACTGGCTCAAGTGGACTGAGAGCTGATCAACTTGGACAGACCCAGGATACGATACAGATCTTTGAGATAGGACCCGGAATTCCAGGAGGGAGAACGATGCCTCTTTTCTCCCCACTCTGCACTTTAAATACTTAGTTTCAGTAATCCACGAGAAGTTGATCACTGTTTGTGGCAACACTCCTCGACAGAAAGCCCTCAAGGCACAAACCTCCTGTTACCAGTCATAGCTCTGTTTTCTCAGTACAGACATCACAACAGAGGCTGACAGACCAAAAAAGGACGACAACAAACCAAACTAAGAGGCACAGAGACAAGAGAGAATAAGAGAGAGCGACCGAGCAGGAGGCCTGACTGGAGTAAATCTCTGACTGGCTTTTAGGTGATTGACTAAAGTGAATTGCAGAGGCTCAGAGTCGCAAAAAAAAAAGGAACAAAAATCTTATATAAGGTTTAGCGGCCAAAACACCACTTTAATATCAACACTGTGCTCTGGAAGAATGTGAAGGTGTTGCATTAAAAGCTAAAAATGACTTAATTAATATAATCATTAGCTGCAGCTCTGGGGCTCCATAGTTTTCCACACTCAGTGTCATTCATACCGTCTCATTCAGCTCCAAAATGTAATTAATTATGGAAACAGGCCTTGTGGAAAGTGATATTCACGATTTATTGTATGTTACAAATTTGATTCTGCTCAGCAGACTGAAAACGACAATAATTAGAGCCATTTGTTTTTGGGCCAACGTCTCAGAGAAAAGCCACTGGCCAAGTCTGCTGTCATTAAGACGCCAGCTTTTTATCTCTCAACTTATTGTGCGGAAAAAGCAAAGTAGCCGAAGAGGATTACAACACAATAAATCTCTCTCATAATGTCTTTTGACCATTAGGCTACACAAGGACAGCACACGGTCAGTCTCAGGGGAGCAACTGTTCCCTGTCTAATCCCTCACCCAGGGGGAGCACTTCTACAAAAGCAGAGTCTATAATGCATTCAGGAGCAGACCCTCGAGAGGCCTTAAAAGCCTCTTTCACTCTATCTGTCATGTCAGGGTGTGGGAGCCATCGAATCCTTTTACACTGTGATATAATCCATGTTGATAACTTTCCTCGCACCTCTCCTAAATTACTCCTGCTCTTAATTTTGCACAATTCATGTCGTCTCTTTTACCGTGTGCAGACGCATTCATACCACAGACGGCGTCTTCATTCTTCTTCAGGAGAAAGTTTGAGAGATTGATGGCTCAGTGGATGAATTTAATGGTCAGTCATGTCTCTTTGTTGTGTGTTTATGAGTCTATTTGTCATTTATTGTGGATCTGTCTGCGATTGTTGGAAAAAAAGCCTTTTAACTTAATCATTCAATCTGTCCCTCACTCACTCACTCGCTCGCTGCTTTCTTCTGTCAATTTAAAGGAAATGTGCAATTTATTCCGGTCTTTGGAGAGATTGTTTCGCCCTTGGGAAAATACATTTTACCTACAAGCTTGATTTCCAGACTTGTGAACGAGGAGATGATGTAAAAGCTTGATCTGTCAGAGAGCCACATGGTTGAACACAAGTCCTAGAGGTCGAGCTGAGTAAAGATGTAGTTTCACACAATAGAGGCTCAGTTTAGGATTATTTTCACCGTCATCCTGAAATCATTCTAATTATTTTCCTTTTTTTTTTGGATGGTCTATAACCAACATGCTCAGTTTACTATCACACAAGACAAGAGGAGAGCAGATTATCGGAGTTTTCAGGAACTCGGTAATGTTTGGCATTTTGAAAGATTTAGGGATTCCACATTAATACTGTCTGCAAAGGCTGTGTAAAACCTGCTGCAGTCAGATTTTGATTCATTTAGCTAAAAAAGGTTGCCTGCACTCACAATCAGCTGCTTTTTCTTTTGATGTCTATTGTGTCGTCTGTGGAGACTGAAGAGGCTTCAGAGTTTCTTCAGGTGAAGGGGAAACGCAGACCTAACTTGCGCTAAATAATGCAGATGCTCGGTTTGAAAGCAGCTGATCTCAATCTGACTGATTCTGTCAAGTGGATGTAGTCACTGCAAAGTCGACCGCAGACTTTTACAGGACTGACTGGAGAAAGGGCAGACGGATTATCAACCTCTGGACGATTATTGGGGCTGATATTTGGTATTCAGCTGATTATCTGTATCAACCTTTTATTGTTCAGATATGATGAAAAAAAAGTGTGTTATTTCAGCTCCTCTGCTTGTGTTTCTTCTCCTCTGGGGTTACAACAGTATTTGATTGGCTCGACACCATGGGACCGGGTGATGCAACAGTACTGTAACAAGTTAACTGTCACCTCCTGTAGGTGATGTAGAAAACTTCAGTTTTGATCAGACGAGGCATTTAAGTTCAGGTGGTGCAGGAGTTCATGATTCTAAATATTGACAGAGTTTTTTATTTTTACTGTGAATGCATACTGGTTGCAAAATGTGAGTCTCAGCTTTATGAACTGGTAGCATTTTGCCAGAAGATTCCACATGTTGACAATAGGCTGTATATGCTCTGTTTAGTTGATTTAATACCAAATGGGGATAAAATCAAGTGCATGAGTGAATTACATGTTAAATCAATGTGAAGACCCACTTAGGCTCAAATTCTTGTCAGCAATGTGAATGCTGTTAATAAGGTGAATTGAGCACATAACTCTTATTTGAGAGAGAGTTGAGAAATCTGAACCCCAGCGAATTTCTCGCACGATGAGTTGACTTTAAAACAGCTTTTTCGATTTGATCTGATTTAAGACGGATATGTTGTGGACAGATATTATGTAAAACATGGTAAAAATAAAATGATATATGGTCTTATTTTCTGATCACCCCCACATAACTACTTTTTTTTGCCCATTTTTTGACTTAATTCACTTCTCAGTCCCGGAGGCTGCGTCCACTTTTTGTCAAAAAACACATCTTAGGCAGTTCATTTAAAGGGCTCTATTTTCGTGCCTTGCCGGAGGAGTGGCACAGGTGCGGCGTAAGTCAGGTCTGCCGCGCCGACAAGGCGTACCCAAGCACATTTTGGTATTTCGGTGAGCGGCGCAGCCTGTTGTAAGTATCCCCCCTCCCTAACCCAGCTCCTCCCAGTGGTGTAATTAGCAGAGGCATCGGTGACGTATGCGCACTATGCCGCCGGTCTACCAAAATAACACCAGACCAGCTGCATTCTGCCTGCGCTAAGAGCTGACCAGGTTTGAATCGGCGAGCTTTCAGTGCACTTTCCACACCGGTAGTGAGCATGAAAGTGTCCCCTCGGTGCACCTCAGTCCATGAAAATACTGAATTGGCTATGAACCGGGCTCCGCCACACAAAAATACCTCTGCACAGGGTGTGCTACCGTCCGCTGTGCTGACGGCGGGCATGAAAATAGAGCCCGAAGTCTCAAGAGATTGACCATCAAATGCCCACGATAATAATTATTTATGATTACTCATGACATACTGTAGGAAACTGTTTTAAGGTAAGTACCTTTGCCTGCTGCGTCCAGAGTCTTGTCAGCAGAATCTAAAACATTTACAGCAGATAGATCAGGACATAACTCTCTGCCCTTCTGAAAGTCTCTCCATCAATTTTCATGATTTATATGTGTTGCAGACTTGTTGCATATTTTACTAATGGACTTCTTCTTAACTGCTTGTACTTGTTTTTAATGAAGATTTTTATCGGAGCAATTATTAAACCAGTTAAACTGTAATCCTGTCTTAAAGGGATTGAAGCCAAAATGATAATAAAGCAAAAACAACACCCAAGGATGATGAAAAAAAGGGGTTTTTACATGAATCCATCACAGAAAGTTTGAACTAAAATAGTAAAGATCAGCTTTTTTTTCCTTTTGGAGCAAATTGAGTTTAGTGACCGTCCTTCAACCACAAAGCTATGAGCTTAAGACCCTGTGTCGGCAAAAAATCTTTCACTGAATCTTTAGCAGCTGCGGGGCTGCTCTCCTGTTACTGACCCAGCACTTAAACCTTGTTGCAAAAAGAAAATACCCCCACAGGGATCAATAAAGTGTCACATTAGCCTGTTAATGCACAGCTGGGAAGTACAGCAATAGTGAAATTACCTGTACAAATCACAGCACGACATTAATCACGCCCGTGATTTGCGAGTGTGCCAAACAGACGACTACAACTCACTCCTGTCAGCGGTGAAATGTCACACATGAACACTGCCGGCTGCTACAGTGGAAACTGCTGCAGAGGCACCGAGCTGTGCACTGAAGAGCAATAACTGAAGCCCCAATCTGCACGCCTCATGGACTCAGCTGACTTTAAACTACTGAGGTGCAATGTGGCAGCATTTTCTGTCTTCAATTGTTTTGAACATATTTACTGTTTGTGAATCATCTGGCGGTTTTTGATTATCGGACAAAAGGGAGTGAAGAATTTAATTGTAATTACCTCCAAATTATTGAGTCTCCGGGGAAATTACTGCTTGATGTTTTCAGCAACCGAACTACATTCTTGTGACACCCAAGTCCTGAAATTCAAGAGACAGAAACACAAAGATTTAACTCGGTTGACTTTTACATTTCCATGTGTCTTTTTGTGTTGCGTAATCATGCAGCTGCAGGTTTAGCTTCAGTGTGCTTGTGTCTGTTTGTGTGTGTGCGATTTGTTAAGCTGAATTAGGTGTGCTGCACCACTCAGTTGGGTGAAACGGGGACAGAACTAGTACCTGTTAAAGGGTCAGTTCAACAAATTTCAATACACTTAAATTTCTAGTTCAGTGCAAGAATAGCGAACGTAACATCCACAGGCTAGGTTTTGTGGATTACTAGATGTAGATGAGATGTTATGAGAGGAGGGGATTGATATTTGAGGATGTAAAATTTGAAATTGTGAGACTTTAGTGTAGGACTGGGTGATTATATGATCGTGATCGATGATCGTGATGAATTTCAGTTCGATCACGGTGATCAGCTGTGAGCTTATTTACTCGATCAAACATAGATGTCAGCAAAATAGATGTCAGTCATGACTTTGAGTCATCCTCCGGAGATGTTATTGTTGTGAATGAAAATTATTTAATGTAAGTTGTGTGGCGGTGGTTCTGGTATCTCCAAAGTGACTTTGAGGAATCACCCTGATGTGTAAGGTATGTCGATGATTGGTTCCCCTTAAAAACCAGCAACACAGTAGATCTGTTTAATAAAATATTGAACTAATCTCTAGTTTCTTCAGTTTTTAGTACAGATGCTTTAAAACTGGCAGTTTAAAAACAAATCATGATAATAATCGAGATCGGATGATATGAAAAAAAAAAACGTGATCATTTTTTTTGCCAAATCGCCCAGGCCTACTTTAGTGTATTGGTGGTTAAAGCCTCACACTTAAATGATCTACCTGTTCAGATATTGTCCAGGAGAATGAAATATGAGCCAGAAATGAAGTGATTTGCCAAATGTGAATGATGTACTTTTACTACATGTCTGACTAAATGCCACGTAGCTACAGATCCGTAAGATTCAACACCTCTTTTGTGGAGTGTGATAAGCTCTAAAACTCATTTATCTATCACAGGAAGTCGTCAATGATTTAGTTGTGCTGACCCTTTCACAAGATGGTGCTGTAAGTGGACTAGGCTCAGCAGGGGAGACACATTAGGTTGTTTTTCTCCTGTGGCATCAATTGGCTTAAGTCTGCTGCTCTGACCATTGTCCAGGCCCCACTGTGGGTGGACATGCTGCCGGGTGGATTTGAAGGTCAACAGAGTTCACATGCAAGTGTTAGACATGTTGGATATAATGTAGGACTCACCATCTGAGCCCTGACTACACTGAAGGAGAGGGTTTTTACTCAGATTGGCTGCATGTTTTTCCAGAGCTTCTGTCTAAAAATGTCACATCTCCAAAAGTCTCTTTTCACCGTAGAAACGCTGACACGTGTCCTGCTCTGGTAGGAATACATGAGGTGATTAAAAGTCTCCCATGTCCTCGATACATGTTCAAATGGCATGCTATAATTAGGATTTTTAAAATATTGATTTCACCTCTGTAATGGCTTCTGCAGCAGGTACTCTCAATTATTAATCACCTCATTTCTGGACTTAAGGTAAAGACAGAGGCTGAGATGTAAAGAGACGGAAACATGGACTTTAAATTAGACCAGGATCTAGTGGATCCCAAAAGGCCAACTCACAAACTGAAATTTTAAAACAGTCGAACACAACCTTATATCATATACAATTGGTGTATAACTCTAAAATATATGATATTAGAGTGGAAATGACAGGAAGCTTTGGTTAAATGCGTTTCCTCATCATACAACAAATGGCCCAATCCATTAAAGGAGTCCTGCTGAGTCATATTGATCGGTTTCTTCAAAGTCTATCATATGGATTGTTTTCACTTAGTAAAATCCATACCCTGGCTTTGGGAGTAGCTCTGTGCTGTGGGAACTGTTGATATTACACCAGCGCACACGAAGTGAGACTAAACCGTAGAGTAGCTGAGCAAAGTTAAATGAAGACCTTATTTTCTGTTGGTGGGAGTCTGACGTTTAAAGCACAAAGTAGATACGTCTTCTGTGTGGTTGAGTTGGTTTGGAAGATAGATAACACCATTAACTTTATGCTATAATCGCCTTTAGCTAGCAGCTGATCAGCTTAGATTAACACAATGGCAGGAAACAAAGGAAACAGTAATAGCTTTGCCTAGCAGTTATACTGGAGAAAGTTCAGCCAAAAGAACAAAACGAAACAAAAACGAAACCCAACAACACCTCCAGAGTGCTGATCAACAATATGAAAGGTTAATACACACGCACACACCAACTTCATCTTCTTACAAACACATCCAGAATTGTAATGTCTCTTTGTTCAAAGGTGTGTGTGTTTTCGTTCTTACCCGGGAATCTCACGAGACTCACAAGTCTTCTCGTGAGACTGGATGAGATCTCACAAGCTCTCGAATGTTTCCCCAGGAGTCATAGAATGAGATCCACCGATCGGTGTATATAAACGGCGGTGTGTATAAACACCCACCTCTGACAACCCTGGCCTCTCCTATTATCAAGTTAAGAACAGTTCAACGTATTGACTTTATTTTATTCTGAAAATTAACCGGATATTTTACTCTGTATCCGCGTGTAACTTCTGCTGTTGCTCGTGCTGCGCTGCACTGAATTGATGCACCATGCTTCAGCGTACGGCAAAAATAGAAGCTTTGCGTACTTGATATGGCCGCTGGAGCCCATTCGCAGCGGAGCCGGACAGATTCTGTTGAATCACACACATTGATTATAAAGCTTGCGTCTTTGATCCACCTGCCGTGCTGTAGCGGAGCAGAGCCGTTCCGGATCCTGTGGGTTTGCCCGTTAGGAGTCTGGTTAACGGGTATCATTAGTCAAGTATTATTGTCACAATTGTAAGATAACGCAAAAGTCGAAACCCTTTTGATTACCACACTGAGATAAAACAGGTCATGCTGTGATTTAAACAAATCCAAGATGGTCGTTTGCCTTTGTCTCCCGTCTTTAATGCTGGCTGATGGCTTCTCCTTGTTTCCAACGGAGACATTCAAGAGTGATGATATGTTTTCTGTCGTGTCAAACTGTTTCCATAAATAGACAATTATCAAACACTCTTTAACTCATAATGAAAAGTTTTACCCTCCAGAATTCCTTGCACCCCCCCACCCCTCACGTGATGAACTTGGGAGGCATCTGATGTTGTTTACGGATTATAAACCTCATCCTGTAATTCCCCTCTAAGCTGAGAAGCTCAGTGGAAATCTGAAATCAGATCACTCAACCTCCTAATTACGTTCTCACTGCATTAAGCCCTCCCTGCATCCCAAAGGCGGTGAAGTGGCTCTGTGAGGAAACTTTGTGGGGCCTCAGCCGCCGTGTTTCGACCCTAGACTTGTGCAGCAGCGCTTGAGTTAGCCCTCACAGTCAGTCTTGACAGCACAACTCTCGGTGCGCGGTGACACATGACAGATCTGGGAGATAAAACGACCATTTCTCGCCCTGCTGCCACTTTAATGGTTTATAAATATCTTCTTCAAAGACGGAGGCGGCGTTGGGTGGCGGGGGTGGTTATGGCTCTGTGTTGTGGTGCAACATTGCAGACCCATATTAGCTCGCAGTTTGCCTTTCATTCCCTACCTCTGGGACCCAGGAGCTGGCTAAGAGTTCACTATGGGGCTGTGTGATAGACAGCTGGAATGAAAGGCCATCGTCTTTCCCTCAGTCCGAATCAAGCGAACACAACAAAACCACAGAAAGACATGAACTACTTGTTGTTCCGCAGCTCCTTTTCTAGAAAGACTGAATGAATACCCATGTGCACAGATGTAAACCTTTCCCCCTGCTTACATAATTCACACAAGTTAGCTACAATGCGAGCCTTTGTTTACCCACATAAACACCTATATCCCCTGTGTGTGAGGTATTTGCATGTGATCAAAGCCTCGGCTCACCGCACCCTCCTTCCCCTCGCTCCCTATAGGAACCTGTTTTCTCCATCCTCCCCGTTCGTCTGTCTTGTGTTTTGTTTAGCTCCAGGGGCATTGTGTTGAATGTCAGAGCTGCTGGAAGACTCGCGAGGCATCAAGGGCACATGCCCCTATTGCTTTAACGGCACAATTATTTATGTAGGTAAACGTTTGAAGGAGAGTGGGAGGACGAATGGCGAGGGTATGAAAGGGTTCAAAAGGTCGTCGAACTATTGTGGGCTCTCACAAGACGCAAACGCACAACTGTGCAGTGTATGAAAGTGTTATCAGAGGCCATGGGTGGATTTATGATCATTAGATGTCCAGGAAATTTAAGTCATGTATAGATTTAGCAGTGACGACTCACACAGGCTTTTTTTAGCCTTGCTCAATATGTCATTTTTGGCAGAGCCTCTTTTTATTGTGGTCTTGGCAGAGACAAAGGGTTAACATGCAGCTGCTTTTTCAGAGGAAGAGACAAAATTTTCTATGTGATCTGCCTAACCTTTTTCATTACTAATATGAGCAGTTTAATCAAGCGTGGATCTGATAATCACTTCTTAATGATGTTTTTTATTAAGTGTAAAATGATAGATTCACAGAGAATTAAAGGACTTCTCTGTTTTGTGTTTTTTTAGCTGCCGTCTTTGATGTTATTTACTTGGAGCAAACAAATGTTTTCAGCAAATACAAGCTCTCATAAATCATAATGAAATGGCATTTCATCAAGAGTTTCACACAACCCAAACTGAGCTAGAAGGAGGCAGATTGTAGGACTTTGTTCACCAGATGCCCAGAAAAAGATGCCACAAAAACCACAAAGAGATCCTCTTTGTGTTACAACACAGTAGGCTGATACTTTGATTTTCTTAAAAAGTGTCTAAACTTCATGTGTGCAAAAGAAATCTTGAACTTTATCATTGAAAACTCAGTAGAAAAGGTCAGGGATGGATGCAAAAGGGTTTCCAGGGGTCCCTTTTGATTGGCCATCCCAGGTGTCACTCTACAATCCTAGCCCATGATTGGCTTTTGCCTCATCGTAGATGGGACTTAATGCTCATCAACATCTTGGACAGGCACACTTCAAACAAACATCTACTTTTTGAATCCTGGAAGTAATAACCCCAGAAGATGATCAAACTGTTGTTTTACAAAAGAATCCAATATCTGTACTAAGGCCCGACCGATATGGATTTTTTGGGGCCGATACCGATACCGATTATTAGGGGGGAAAAAAAATCTGATTACCGATTAATCGGCCGATTTTAAAAATTTTTATGAAGGTATAAAAAAAAATATATATATATACTGTAGAAACCACAGTATACTGTATACTGTAGATATACTGTAGGTTACTTCTCTTTACGCAGAGAACTTACGCAGGGAACTTTTTAAATGGCGGAACATTTTCGAAGTGAAACTGAATCTTGGTCTCCGCATTTTATTTCTGAAAATATCGGCGAGTATCTGCAAGTTTTGGCAGATTACCAATTTGCCTCAAAGGGGCTAAAATTGACCAATTTAATCAGCTTGCCGATAAATCAGTCAGGTCCTAATCTGTACAGTGCTTACATGTCAGTAGTAAGGAAAATAAAGATAGATCAATGGAATCGTAAATCAAGTATTTTGCAGAGGGAAAAAAATCTGGGTTTTAAATTTAGTCCATGTCGCCCAGCCCTACAGATCAGTTTGAAAAGGAAGAACCGCAAAAACTATCAAGTCTGTTTAAATTTGCAAAGCGACTATTGTGTTGAATTCAAGCTCAAATGCCATTCAAAATAACTAAGCAATCATTTAATCGGTGATAATCTAAAATTTGCGTTTTTTTGTGTGTAGGTTTTGGGCTTTGAGAATTAGCCCTTCAAAATAAGAGTTTTCAATTTATTCTTTCCCAGGTCTCTTAGAAAGGACGCCACGAAATAATGATGATGATCAGATTTGTTTCTTTCACTTTAAAGCATCCTTACCAACAAGAATTAAAATGTCAATTTTTAGTCTTGAACTAAAGTTTAAATGAATTCATTCCCCTTTAATACAGTTTATAGCAAAGTACACTTAAAGCAGCTGCGTAGCTGCAGTAACGGGGGTGACACAAAGTCTGGGAGCTTCAGGTGATACCATAGGTAAAGTAATCATAATAAGATGTTTGCTTGTCAATTTGCCCATCCACACATGCATTTTTTTTAAATCTAGTACTGATATTTTTTTTCCCCTATGTGATCATAAATTTGCAGCAGGGACCAGAGGATAGTTTTGATGGTTTGGGGCCATTTGTGTGAGGAGAATCAATTTGAACACAATCAAAAGTTAAGAGGGATTAAAGCAACCGTGATGAGATAGCACACTCCAAATGGTTTAAAATAGCTGCAAAGATTACACTAATGTAATCCAATTTAAAGAAGCCGCCTTTTCCCTAATATTTATTATTGAAGGGCCATCTGTTTGAAGCCTTTGGGTCAGTCCAATATGCAGCTTCACACCAACAAGGCATTTTTGTTGTCCCACATTTCTCCCCGTCCTGTCCGTCAAAAAGTCAGAAGGATTGCTTTTATTTTTAGCTCAGTTAGAGTCTCCGTCCTCCATCCTGCAATCAGTTCTTCACTCAGTTAAAAATGAAACTCAAGGTCATTTAAACTTCCTAACCAGCTGGACTAATGAACGATTATAATGAGGAAGAGAGATCTGATGTTTAAATTATTGATATGATGGTGTCTGTTCTTGCATCGATGGTCGTTTATGGGTCATTTAAAAACTTTGCTATCACAAGTCTGACACAGATTCAAGCTCAACGCCGGCTAAAGTTGCAGTAAGGAACAGAGCAGCATCTCATTTCATGCACATATTTGTAACTTCTCTTTAAATGCAGATGTAGAACAGAGTAGGGGTACCAAAGTGATCGGAGACATTTTTACTGATTTTTCCACTCCATTTCTCTCCTGGTAGCTCATAGTTGTGTGCCGATACTAGAATTTATTATGATTTAACTGTGGGGTCATTTATTTAAATTGGCCTGTGTGAATGCTTCAAAGATCATGTCCTTCCTTTCTGGATATATGGGTGCTCCCAAAACCACTCAGAGCTGACCAGTATTCTGTTTGTTAATGAGATCCTTTCCAAGTGTTTGAGTTTTAAGGTTTTATAGGTTTTATTTAATCTAAGAATTAACAATTATTAACTAAAAATAGACAGTGTCATGTATTTTCATAAGCAAGGAATGGGCTACAAAAAAGCTAAAATAACTACTTCATGAATTTGTTGTTTGGCATATGGAGAATTTAGTCTTTCTTAATTTTACTATCAGCAGAGCTGCCCCCTGTTGGCCATTTGAAAGACTACAGCTGAGGCAGTTTAGCAATGGCTGGGTTAGAGAGTTCAAATATGACGAAGTGATGTTTTTGTCTATAATAATGATTGAAATAATAGTTGGAGAGTTAATTCAACTGTATAATCCAAACAAAATGAAGCTGCTCTGTTGTTTATGTTTGCACTGTTTCAGATGCTCTCCTGTGGATTTTACTTGTAAACAAAAAGTATATAGTCGGATGTTTGGAAAGAGTTAATTTGACATTTGTTTACTCAGAAATCATTGACCAAATGACCAATGACCAAAAAAATCATTCATAGAAATAGTTTTTAATTCACCTCCTTACAAATCAGTAACCAATCAGCTGATTGTCTCTCTTTACCGCATCAACTACAAATTAAAAAGGTGTCCCACCCTTAATACCAGTCTGTTTTCAAGCCCTTTAGCCTCTAGACCCTGGTGTTGCTGCCTTGAATGACTTCAGATTATCTGTTAATTTTAAGGCAGCAGGTGGTCCGACCACTCAGTATGGACATTGAATGTGGGTGGTGGGGTTGAGGTGTAAAGGGAGAGTAAATCTGAGCCTCGGCTAAATCTCCAGCTCCGGACTTGCACTCACATGATAGAGAGAGAGAGAGAGAGAGAGAGGGAGAGAGAGACATGAGTGGAAGTGGAGATTACTCTGAGAGATAGAGTGTGGCTGGTTAAAGAGGATCAGTTTATCTTCACACAGGCCTACATGACTCCCCGAGGGCTGCGAGAGGGGGACTGGCTTTATCATCCTTTTGATCATACACAGCGTAATTAGGATGGGATGCCTTGTTAGACATGCAAATTACAAGTATTTTTAGTGATGAACTAGACACCTGTTTGGTTTTATATTTAGATGCACGTGGTATTAAACTTCAGCTGACTTACTTTACTTCAGCTCACATCTAATTAATTCATTTATTGAGTCATACAAGCTTCCCCATGCTTTAATGATATCATACTTTCAGCTTTGGTTTAAGCCTCAAGATCTGTATGTTTTATCCTATGAATATGCTGCCCCCTGTAGAAAGTTCACGGTACTACAGCAGGCTTGCTTCAGATCCTTTAATTGTGCCCCAGCTCAGGCATGCTTGACTTTTTCTCTGATCATTCTGTGCAGGTTTTGCAAGTCCGGCATTGGCTGCTGTCTTAATTGCTGCTGCAGCTGTGACTCTGCCAATATCTCTGAGCCAGGATGCCCTGGAGGAAAGCAAAAAACATTGTTTACTCTAAAGAGAAGAATCCAATTAGCAGATATAAAGCGTGGCTAGGCTGAAGGATCGCCTTTGGCAGAGTGTAATTAGGACAGAGTCTACTGAGGCTGCATAGTATCATATCTGCATCCCTTTTATTGGCAGCTCTTCCTGATTTTTTCTACTCCCCTGTTGGGGAGGATTTAGGTTGTCTTTAACCAATATCCAAATCTTGAACTGTTGTTATCTACCAGTCTGCAGCCAAACTCACACACGCCCCAGATGGAGACAGCCATGGATTAGAGAAGATTTTCCTTCATTTAATGAACAATTGAATGACATAGTTCTGAGGATAAACCTGCTCAAAGAAGCACATGAATAGTCTGGAGTGAAGAGACTATGAGGGCATTATCCGACTTGATCATCTTGAATCATTCAGAATTACAGGCCTTCACGTGAAGACGAGGTATATAGTCTCATCAACCTACAACCTGATCCTCTCTGATTGAGTCACACCATATATAGTAACCAACATGCAATGCCCACACAGCTCTCATTTTCCAAGGGGAGAGATTTCCATGAAGACAATCCCAAACAGCCTTTTCCTCAGTTTTGTTTCATACGTCACTTCATTGGTTTGCCTCTAAGCAAAAACAACAGCTTATAGAAATGAAATTGTAGCTCTGACAGGATTTGTGAGGGAAAATTGATCTTTTCAGACCCCTAAAGGGTGAATTATTCTGCTGCATATTGCGGTTCAAAAACAGGCGGATGTGATGATAGCGATAAGAGTGATGGTGATGATGGCAGTGAATAAATCTTAAGCAGACAGATCCAAATAGATGGCTTTGCGGAAACGGCTGGGTATAAAGATGTGGTTCATGTGACGACAGGGGAAGGTTTTTGCATTCATGTCTCACAACACGCATCACAGGATTTGACATCTTTTCATGTATGGAGGGGGAAAGGCTCGCTGTTTACCATATTCCCACAGCAGCCATTTATCTCTGCCATCAGGTTCAAGATGGGCTCAAATGCTGCAGCCATGCATGACACACTGCTGGTTATTAAATCATACAAATAAAATAGAAACGATTTATTCTGATTATTCTACAGTTTCTTAATGAATCAGTAACTAAAAAGGCAATGAAGCAACAGGGTTGGGATCAAACGGGTCAAAAGATCTAACCTACTTTTACCATTAGCTTTACTTTTCTATCCTAATATTTTATATGTTTATTTTCTTAACTAGAAAACAGTGAGTTGCTGTGTAATAATGACCAATAACAACCTAATTTGGCCGTCCCCTCAGATCTCACCGTTCTGTTGTCTTCTCAGTTTCTGGCCAGCTAGAAAGTCGTTAGTAAGCGCTTTGTCTGAGACCTCAAACCTCCATCCTGGGGATACACGGTGAAAAAACAGCTTATTGAGTGAATTCTGCGGTTAATCTCAGATTTTCCAATCTGTGATGGTCTGTGAGACCTGTGCCCTCAAATTTGCAGGGAAGACAGTTTTCTTACGCTCACTTCAGATGTCAAGATCTGACCAACATCCATCTCCCTTTGCTGTTTGCAGTTTGAACAGAAGCTTTGATAACCTAGACAAATTGCATAGCCTCAGTCTATAGCCAGCTAGTAGATTTGACCAACTGATATTAAAGGATGATACTAAAAATACAAGTATGGCATTTACTGAAAAATGTAAAAATGTTCATTTTGTGCACAAAGGCATGCAGAAACAAGTTAAATTTATCGTAAAGCTCCTGTGAGGAACTGTATCAAGTTTGGCGCCCCCCTGTGGACAAAGTAGTCTTTACTTATCTTGTCGTCTGCATGCTTAAACTATAAATTTTGACAAAAAAAACTCAAAAGGATCTGAAAATCCACAGAATATGCTTGGAGTAAATGTAGCCTTGAAGACGTTTCATGTGGGCTTCCAGTTTTTTCAAACGTCTGTCCTGAAGCCTGAGGTGTGGTGTAACAGCGGTTGTCTGGAGGTGACGTTACTCGGACAAGGGTGTGCAGCCGGTGAGAGGGTGTCCTCTTCATTATCAAGGTTGTGTCATAATCTTGCAAATTAGCTCGCTGGCATCCATATTTCCGACAGAATGAGACTGCATCACTTTTTTAGATTAAAACGCTGAGGGAGATTACTTCAATAATGAAACAGGCGAAGTTATACTGCAGTAGACCGTCTGTACTGTTACCGTGTAAAATCAAACAGTTCTCCTGCAGTGGGCTGTCAATATCCTTATTTTGATCATGAATGTTCTTCCTTCAGCTGCGTCGCTGTAGTCTGTAATGGACCCTCCTGAGGTCTCGCTACAAACAAGCAGCTGCTGAAAGAGAGTAGGTAAGTTGTGTGTAGTCTCTTTGTTAAAGAAATTAGGCAAAGTTAAAAGGATGTTTGGTAGCTAGTACTATGGCTGGGACCCTATATGTACTGTTGTTGAAGTTAAGTGCTGTTCTGAGCATTATTTATAGCTAAAGAGTGGTGTTTTGGTTCAGGGTTGTTTATGGTTCCTCAGACCGCTGTGTATTGCTAGAGTGCGGTTGTTAATAAAGTTGGTATAACTAGAGAAGCAAGCGGTCGGCAACATTCATCTGTCTTTGGGGTGTCTAACTCGGTGTTACGGTGTGTTCAACCCTAAATCAATTTTGCGCCTGGAATATCCCTTTAAGCATCTTGATATTGGTCTCTATGAGGATCGACTCACATTTGGAAAGCAGCCCCAACAGGCCGTTCAAAGAACTGCACTTCTTACACTCCTGTATTGATTTAATTTCTTAGCACTGAGGGTACCTGCTTGATAAAACATGTGCTTGTTTATTTCCTCAGTGTGAAACCTCACTCACCTTTTCGTTCCATAAGTAGCTCAGTCACACATGTATCCCATCAGACTACATAATGTAACATCAGTTCTCTATCCTGGTCTCAATATGTGATTGCTCTGCAGAGTTAATTCATTAATCTCAGTCAACACAAATCCCTGCAACATTTGGTGTGTGAGTGCAGTTTTATTACAGGGGGAGACTCTTTAAACATACTTTTAACAAAACTCAGATGTGAATTGTTCAGGAAAAGCATCAGAAAGCTCAGATTCTTTTTATTTAAGATATTTTCTATCCCTGTTTTTTTAATGGTGTTCCCTCAAATGCTCCAAAGTTCATCTTTTGCTCAAATGTTTGATGTCCATGTGCACTGAGGCTCAGCAGAGATCGCATAGCATAAACAGTTGAACGTAGAGCTGAGCGAGCTGTTAATCGTCATTTAAAGATGTACATGGTGTTTGTGACGACGATGATGAGGATGATGATGATGATGGCAGCCACATCAGTGTTGACGGGTGAAGCAACCATGTGTGCCAGATCATATCTATGTCCAGCTGAGCTCTTTTGGCTCACGTGAGGTGAGAGGATTGCGTCCCGGATTGTTTAGGGATTACTCAGCCGGACTTACCAGATCCAGAGATTCAGAAATTAAGGGATAGGAACGACACAGGAGTGGGGGTCATGTGGTCCCACGAGAAATAAGAAAAGCAGTGAGTATCTGCGGTAAAAGTACGAAACATCAAAAGCGAGTGAGTCTCAACCTTTCTGCCTTTTTTCCACGTGCCTGAAATCTCTATCTCACACACAGACGCATGCTTTCCTCCTCTTTGACGGTACACCCCCACGGCTCAGCCCCACCACCAGCAATCACCTAATTCCACCGCTACTACACGCGCTCTCACTCTGCAAAAGAAGGAAGGCGTGCCGCGCTGAACAGATGTGGCGATTTCAGCTGCCGGTTCATGGATCATAACACTCTCTGTGTACTCTGTCTGTCCGTTTGAGCACATGAGGAATACCTTTTGCTGCGTCAGCCGGAGGATTTAGAGGCAGGAATAACCTTTTTTTTTTTTCTTTGCATGAGTGGTTTTTTACACTAATTTTCAAACTGGAGACCCCAGTGGAAAACGACTGCTTGGATCGGTTGATCAAGCTGCAGCTGTCTGGTTCGGGTGACTGGGCACCCTGTGAGTTGGACTTCTTTCTGTTTTTTTCCATAACATCATAAGGCCTTTTTCTTTTTTTGTCAGAATTGAAGCTTTTTCCAGGCAGATGATTTGTACTACAACAAAGTCCTTAAACCTCTCATGATTAAGCCTCTTATTTTCTCATAGTTCATGCACCTCAGTCTCTTTGACTTCTCCACAATCTGTTTTTGCCTTTTTTTAGAAATATACACAAATATGCTTGTTCTGTTTTTGTTTTGCTTCGCTAAAACTGATTCCTGATGAAGTTGTTCGAACTTAGAGATAAAAACTTAAACTGTAAATACTTACAAACTAATAATTCTCAGATTCTTCATGACATTTATCGTGTAAAATGCATTTTTCATGGCTTTCCAAAAGAATTGTGTTGATCTGCTGTGTCCAGCTCTTGCATTTGTATCATCTTGACTTATATATATCAGGTAGAGCAGAGTGGCATATCATCACTGTTCACTTTTGACTTTGAAAAATGAAATTCACACTTTCTCTTGCAGATAGAAAATGTTTGAATCAGAGTATAATTCATATGATTTGTATGAGTGTGTCATTGTTAACTAATTTGATCTTCATCTCACCTCCATCAAGCTCATATCCTTTCATCCTGTTCATGATGCTGGACATATTGAAGCCCAAAGGACAGTGCACACCAAAAAACACCCACTCACATATGTCAGGTTATGTAGGGGGATATCAGAGGTGAGGTTACTGATGATTAGATCAGATCAGCTGATTTCACGGTTATGAAAGTCGAAATATGACAGATGTTTTCTGGGTTACTGGTTTAAGCACAGTCTGTGTCCACGTCATTCATTTTTATCAGGTTCGGATTTGACCCAGACTTAAAAAAATGGTTTATGCTCATGACACAGGTGGACAAATACACTGGGATAAAAAAGACAGAGTGAAAAAAGATGAATTTCTTTGTAGCTTTTTAGGCAAATCGACCAAATTAAGTAGATTTAGCCCCTTGAGTATGAATTGTTTACTCTTCTCTCTGCTCCATGTCTTTGTAAAACTAAATATCTTTTTGAAAGTTGTTCAATGGCTTCATATTTGGCTTTAGGAGATACAAAAATTGATGTTCAATTATTGGAGGTATGAAAGAAGGGATGAATTCATCCATAATTCATCTCGTGGTTAACCCTTTCCCCCCTGTGTTGTGCTGTCGTTCCAGGTGACACCAACAAGGTGGAGATCCCCAGAGGAGAGATGGAGGTGGTGAAGGGCCAGATGGTGGTGTTGCACGCCTGGTACAGCCCTAACTCCGACATCTCTAAAAACACTGTGGTCTGGCACTTTACGGGGAATGAGTCCAAGCAGGTGAGGAAAAACTGATGAAACAAGATCTGCAGTAATATTCTGCATATTTGACCCCGCTGTGAACTCTACTGTGTGCACAATGAGGAGCCTGAAGAGATTAAAGAGAAGTACTTTACGCTTGCTGATCCTCATACTACTACAGTGAAAGTGTTCAATAACAGAGCTGAAACATTGATGGACCACTACTGAAAAGAAGTCTTGACTAGTTGAAAAACAAGCAGATATTTTTGTAGGTTTTCCCTGCTGGACAAAACAAGACATTTGTACATACCACCACCATCAGTTCATGGTTGACAATATTTCTAACAATATTTGCTATTTTAAACCTTCATTTCTAAGAAAAAAGAACACAAACCATATTGAAGTTACCTTCTTTCAACCGTATGGATCAAAAACAATCCCAGGAATTTTTATTTGCTATCGAGATAAATCATTTTACAGGCAGTGGCCGCTTGACCTCTGAATCTATGCAAGATTAAATGAGCATTTTTTTTGTATTTCATAACATGTAACATCCCTAGAAATCCATTTACTCACACGCAAAGTAAAAATGATGAACTGTAGAGATTATTTACAACAACACCGCTCATGTCTAATTCACAGCGGAAGGAAGCCATTAATGATATTTCATCCGCCCTCTTACTGTACCTCTTACATGTAGCATGCAAGCGAAAGTGCATACAGTATACAGTGTGTGTGTGTGCAAGGTCTGTGCATGATTAATATAATGTAAACTGCCCTGTGCCTGCAAGCTTAACTCAAACAGAGAATGAGCCAAATTTAACATCCACCATCTGTACATGTCAGGATTATCTTTATGAAGGACGATCATTTCTGGTATATGGTTAATCTACACATCTCAGTGCAGCTGCGACAAATAAAAAAAAGGAAAATACTGGGCCTTACTTTTATAATTTGTTGGATTTCCTAGAGAAAAAAACAAACAAAGATGATCTGATTTTGCATCTCTGTGTAATATAAAGTGTTTTGCTCTCCTAGGTGATCAACTTTAGCTCAGGTGAGGTCGGGTATAGCCAGAATGAGTTCACCAAAAGAGTGGGCTTCGGCGTGGCCATGCCCTCAGCGAACATCTCCATCTACATCAACAACACCCAGGAGTCGGACACCGGGCGCTACTTCTGCAGCGTCATCGTCCCTAAAGGTCTTAGCATTTCAGGAGAGATGAGCCTTAATGTCAAAGGTAATGTTTCACAGTATTGAAGGAATTTTAAAGGTTAGGTCGAATCGCAACACGGCTCACACGTTTCCCCGTATTGAGGTCAAAACAGCCAAAATAAATGCTAAAGATTATTTGAAGGATTTGGACAAGTCTGCTGAAAATCATATGCAAGCAAGCGCTAAGCATAAATAAAACTCATCTGCTGTCCAGGGATTGAGCGAACTCTGAGGTCATTATGTCACCCTCAAGCAGCAGATGGAAACGTAGGGGGCGGGGCTGGGTAGGGGGCGTCAAAACATTTTCTTACTGCTGCCCTCAGGAAAGTCAACTTTGTTAGCAGCAGATTAAAGCTCAATCACTAGGTCAGGGGTCACTGATCCTATCTTCTTATCCTACATGTGTTGGCTAACACTCGACCTGTGTGTCTGGCTGTGTCTACAGTCCCTCCGTCTCCACCAGTATGCACCATGACTGGAAACCCAGTGGTGGAGGGCAACGTGACTCTGAGCTGTCAGTCCGCTTATGGGAAACCAGTCCCCCAGTACAAATGGACTAAGGCTGCACCAGTGTCTGAGGTCTTCTTCTCTCCAATGCAGAGTGAGTATGTAGTGAGGATGGTGCATTTTTAAAGGTCAGCGCACCCACAACATCGAAAAATATATTTTCTCACTTTTCAACCCGAGTAGTACCAATGCGCATCAATGGTTCTGGATTTATTTGTTCAGGTTTTAATGTTTATTTCAGAATGTCAGACGATTTAGGTACAGCACACTGTAGATCAGTCAATAAATAGTTTTAAATCAAGTGTTTTTCACTCCGTAAGCACTGAGCATTCCCACCTGAAATCTTCCTGTCCAATTAAAACAGCAGCTTATAGATATTGTATTTGTGATGCAAAGAGCTGAAACCAAGAAAATCGATCATAAAAGTAAACTGAAGCGTAGTGATGCTGGGAAATGATACAGAAGTCCGATATTCGGTGAATAAAGCAGCCGGATTGTTTCTCCAGCACTGTTATTATTGATAGGATGAGCGAAGAGAAACAAGACTGAAAAGTTGGGGAGTAGAGATCAGGGGAAGACATGCAGCAAAAGGGCAAACCAGGGGCCACTGCAAAAAGGACTGTAACCTCTGTAGACAGTATGTGGTGAGCTTAAAGGGATATTCTGGTGTAAAATCAATTTAGGGTCAAACAAACCATAACACCGAGTTAGACACCCCCTCGAGAGATGAATGTTGCGGACTGCTTGCTTCTTTAGTTATACCAACTTTAGTAACAACCGCAGGATAGCAATACACAGCAGTCTGAGGAGCCATAAACAAACCTCAACCAAAACACCACTCTATATCCACAAATAATGCGCAGAACAGCATCTAACTTCATCAACAGTACATACAGGGTCCCAGCCACAGCACTACCCACCAAACATCTTTTTAGCTTTACCTGATTTCTTTAGCAAAGAGACTAAACACAACTCACCTACTCTCCTCCTACGGACTACAGCGGGGTGATGCAGCTAAAGGAAGAATATTTATGATCATTTCTTCATGGAAATGCGATCAGACCGAGATGCTGAGGCAGAAGAACTACCGCATCTGCAGTGCAAAGTGATTAATATGATGATTATTACTTCAAGGAAATGATAGAGTAATGATCATAAATGTTCTTCCTTGAGCTGTGTCACCTCGCTGTAGTCCGTAATGGAGGTCTCCCTACAAACAAGCGGCTGCTGGAGGAGAATAGGTGAGTTGTGTTTCGTCTCTTTGTTAAAGAAATTAGGCAAAGTTAAAAAAGATGTTTGGTGGCTATAGAGTGGTGTTTTGGTTGAGGTTTGTTTATGGCTCCTCAGACCGCTGTGTATCGCTATCCTGCGGTCTTTACTCAAGTTGGTAAAACTAGAGAAGCAAGTGGTCAATGGCCTAAATTAATTTTTCACCAGAATATCCCTTTAAGCCACTGGGCCAACTGATATTAGGAGGGGCTGAGAGCTGAGCTGCTTGTTTGTTTCTCTGCTTGTTTTCAGGCAGAGGTCTGCGTCCCCTGATTGTATTTATCTACTCAGGTCATCGTTTTAAGGCTCGCTGTAGTACATGATGATTTACTCCCATGTCTCACTAAGATTACTCATGTTGTTACTCATGCTGTTAGCTTTGTTTCATATGCCATTACAAGTCCAAATTCCTGCCATACAAAGATTCAGTGGAATGGAGGCATACCATATTTGAAAATTAAAGGATGAAGCGAAACAATAAGCATGTAACTGCTCGAGGAAAGTATGTTTTTCCTGCTGATAAAAGGTCCAGGATTCAGATTTAAAGTCCCTTAATATTCCAGCTGCATGTATGTATGTATGCAAGATTTAGAGTCTGTATCAGAGCAGCGAGGGTTTGATTCTAATCGGGCGCTTTGCTGCATATAATCCCCTCTTTCTCTCCCCAACCTTTCACAGTCATCATCCAATAAAAGTAAACATCCCTAAAATAATACCTTAACATTTTTACATTTAAATCAGGTGGTTTTCGAGGCAAAAAGAGGTCAAAGCGACATCCCCTCTAATCAAACCGCCATCGTTTTTACCCTCTTTGCGTGGATATGTATCTAACAGAGGAGAATAGATGGAAAAATCAACTCCCAGCCTGTTCATGTGCAGCTCTAGATGTCATGAACTGTCTACCTTACATGCAGATGAAGTTGATTTCCTCTCGTCAGGTCATCCCGTAATCAGATGAGGCCTGTGGGCTTTACTCTGCTGATAAGTGTTCCTGATGCACCTCGGATGGAGATCCTCGATCATACCAAAACACGCGGCGTGAAATCCTCTTTGCAGATTGAGAGAAACTACGCAGCTCTCCTCCCAGAGCGCTGCCCATGTAGAAAGAGAAAAAGATGCATGTACGCGTTTATTGATGTATTATTTTGAAGATGTTTGTATCCAGATGAGTCTGCACAGTAAACACCATCTGTTTCTGAAAACAGAACTCAGGCTGATTGATTGGGTATTGGCTTATCTGCTCTGATCTTTTGCCCTCATCTCTTTAAAGTCCACAGACTATCAAAATCAAATGTACTCGCTCTGATCCTGGGTTTTGTGCTGCTGCACGGGCACTCACACCTACAATTGTTTGCATATCTGTGCCACCTTACATGTTATCGACACTTAAAATGAAACCCCTTGCTCATCTTTTATCTGCTTTGACTCTTTGATCTTTACTCTGCTATCACTGCTTATCTCTTTCAGCAATCTCTCCCTCTCCGCGTTTTCTCTCTCCGCTGATCCTCTCGCGGCACTCCTCATTTCCTGTTGACCTTGGTGCCTAATCTAACAAGCCCCATGTCATTACTTGATCAACCCCTCTAAGAGGCATAAGTTGGATTTGGGACTGAGAGTGCGGCACGCTCATCCAACCCCCCTCCAAATCTGTCCGCACCTCTCCATCCCTAATTCATTCTCACTCTCTTTCTTTCTCTCTCTCTCTGCCATCTTTCCTTGAATTTTAAAAAAACAAAAACAGAATGGAGAACTTGCCCCCAGCCCATGCTTATCCTTGGGTACATGGGTAAGGGTTTTCACTCATACATTTCCCATTCATTTACCTGTGACCCTTGAACTCTGTACCACCCTCACCTGTAAACTGTGACATCCAAAGGAGTCATGGTGACTCCTTCGGATCACAACTTTAAAAGAAGAGTTTTAAAGGGAAAAATCAACCCAGTTTAATGATAATTGGATGAGTTTCAGGAGTCGTTAAATCAAAAAGAAAAATTAACTTTGTAGGATTGTCAAAGCAAATTTTTGTTTATTAAATCAGTTGGAATTAAACTCGATGAATAGCAGGAGTGTGTCACAAAAGAAGGGTTGATTTTTTTCCTTTTACTCTTTCTTAGTTTTTATTTTTGTTGATTTGTTTCATTCAAATATAAACAGAATTCCTCTAGTACATGTGTCCTGTAGTTAGAAATCCAGTAATCCGCCATCCCAATCCTTCACAACTGGTTTATCTGAAATTTCTGACCATCTTTTTGTAGTTAAGGTTTTAAGCTTACCCAGTATTCAGTGTTCCTGGTAGAAACTAGATGACAGAAATTGAGAATTCGAAGGATAAAAGAAAATTAAGCTCAAATAGTAGATCTCTTGCTGAGCATTTATTAGCTTAGGTGCTAGCTAAGTAACCAATCTTACCTTAAAGATTCCCAAGTCGTCTGTGTCTAATGTTTTTAACCTGCTGAGTAGCTCAAGCGCTCAGTGCTTGTGTATCATGTGTTTGACAAAAGCAGGCTAACTATTTAAAGCTCCAGTTGGGAGTTTTTTTATGTTTATGAAATCCTCAAATTCAAAGTGATGCTATTTTATGATATACAAAAGGCAAACAAGACCACCCGTGACAAGATTTACAACTTTTAGACTGTAATTTTTAATGCTTGAAATGTCCATCAGTGGAGCTGCTGCTTTTACAGTTTTTCATTGAGTGTTCAAAAAAATTACAAATTTGACTGTCAGGTCAGCAATCTTGACACTTTTGTCAGGAGACATTTTATAAGTATGTAAAGAGCAAGACAAGTGACGACCGTTTATCCACAGGAGGTGACGCAAACAAAAAAATTCCCATAGGACCTTTAATTTTGCTTTACATTCATTCAAACCTTAAAAACAACAACTTTTGCGTTAGCTCAGGGGTCAGAAATTAATTTTTACATGGGGCCACATGAGAAACCTGAGCTGTATTGGAGGGCCGAACCAACAATAACTTCAACTTCAAATCAGGGGGGTTCACACAGACAGAAAAGCAAGCCCAAATAAGCAACTACTAGTTAAAAACAAGCCAAAAAAACCTGCAACTCATGAGTTTTACAAGTGACTTCTAAGAGAAACAAGCTAAAAGTCTTTTATAATAAGCGGACTTCACAACTCTAAGGTGTCTATGTATATTCTGCTTGTCTCTGTTCACAAATGCAGATCTAGGATGTACATACATGCGTCCAAACGGAAATAAAACAACAGCTAGGTTTTCAAAATAAAAGCAACATACTTTTATAGCATGTTGATGATTTGATAGACGGACCTCACGAAGGGCTGGACAGGGACATCCAAAGGGCCGGATGTGGCCCTTGGGCTCTCAAATCCCCAGGACTGCTCTAGCTGTAGCTTCTTTTTGTCAATGGGCCTAGTCTACAGATCTCCAGTTACTGATCTCATCTAAATCTCAGCAAGAACGTGTATCAACATATTTTCCTTTTAAAAAATATGCTGATATGATTATTTTGTTAAAGCTGCTTTTGTTTGCTACCCCATTTCTTGTTTTTCAGACCACTCGTCTGACAAAACAAGTACTTGAGTCATCCTCTGTATAATCTTCAATAGCCGAGCTACGACTGTGAACAGAAATTAAATACATGAAAACATCAGTGAATAAAGAGACATGTATTTTTTGAAGTATGGTTAGTCTGTGAGTCTGTGTGTCTGTTAGATTCTGGCTTTAGCTTGGATTTAGTTTGTAGTCTTCACCTCTTAGTCCTGCAAGATGAAAGTTATGGCAAGAGAAAATCCTAAAATTCTTTCTGATGTTAAAGTTGCTCCTTGACACGTTGAAGGGTGTGGGTTTGTTTTACACTGCCTGTGAGAATAAATCCTCTGCAGCCTTGGCAACGTCATGCGAGGAAAGAAACTATACAATGAGATTCGTATGGAAAAGCTGCTGATTTACATTAATCACGTGTCATGTGTCGAGGCTTTGACAAATGCTGCTCATTGACCTTGCTTTGACGGCAGTGTGATATGAGTAATGCTCCTGTCTTAGCGGTCTACTCTAACGTCAGATCCCCTCCTGCTCTGCCACTGCTGGGATCTGATCGCTGTGCCGGCTTGAACTCGCTCCAAGCTCAGAGTCAGCTGACGTTCTGCTAATCTGTCACAATTGGGTTTGGTTCTTCACAGCTGTTTTTCAAGCCCGGGGGATTAAATAATCAGAGAGGGGGGCAGGTGCATATCACACTCATCTGCTACTTTTGTATTTGGCACCGACCTTTGTTTTCACTTTAATACTCTGGTTGAAAGGTTAGCATACAGAGATGGGATCTGTTATTGAGCTGGTTATTTTTTAACCTTTAAATTTAACTTTCTAGCTTTGATGGATGTTCACTGTGCGACCACACAGACTGGAATATTAAGACTGACTTTTACAGGTAGTGCTTATCAACAGCAACAAACTATTTCTGACTTGTCTTCATCGCCTAAATCTAAACCTGGTTGAAGACTTGCTTTTTTGTGGGTTGCACCTACTTATATGAACAGCACGCTTGATTCAGTAGCAGATGGTGCAGAAAAAAATCAGTCCAACCAACAGCCACCCAAACTTTGGGATGAAGACAGCTGTTTTGAGACAATAATTGTTAGGGATTTTCTTGTCCCTTGCGGCAATATGTTGCTTGCTGGCATAATGTGAACCCTGCCTCTTCATCTGGGATGATTTGGATGAGTCCCAGGGTTGCATTACTTTCCTCTCTGCAGGGATTGACTCCGTACACCGAGTGTGACAGGCATGCATGAACACTTACAAGACACCCAGCGGTCCAAACAGCAGTTTTAAAGAGGGTGTTTCCACGCAGCGGATGCACACACCCGCTCTGTTTTCCTCACCTCCCCACGAAAGCAGAAACGCATCAGCTGAAGACATGCAGCAATGTGATGTCTAAGATTGGATTTCAGAGGATTTGTTGTGTTAAGTCCTCATAAAGCTTGTTTATTTTTTGTGCAGCCTATGTTCCCAACAACTCAGCATTTTTTTAGCCGGATGGGCCAGGAGTTGGAGATTGGAGGGAAATTCCCAGTATTGGAGACACAGAGAAAGATTCCCACTCACATGACCTTGGCACTGGAGCATTTGCAAACTAAAATTGCTGACCAATACTATGATGGAGCAAGACTGCAGAATCATCAGCAGCTGAAACACTCCAATGACAAACCCAATACTCTGTGGTCATTGGATAAATCCCAGGAGTAGATTAATTCTGGATTACGGGTCGGAGTCAGTGACAAATGATTCAAGAATATCATGAATGGTGCACATAATTGGAATTGTGATTCTTTCCAGCTGTAGAGGGGCTTGTCTTCAATATAAAAAAATGCACAATTAATTCAGCCAACCAAAATTGAATAAAAAAAACATTAACAGTTAAAATCTAAATTATAACCCCCACAAATAGCATCCATGGATTTACAAAATCCCTCAGCTGTGAGCAAAAACAACTGCACCGCTGATCGGAGTTAGATACAGTTAAGCAGATTCCTCTAACCGGAGTATGAAAACAGTAATACAGAACTCCTGCCAGCTAGCAGCTGCCTGCCAGCTGTAGCTAACATTATCCCAAAGTACATAACACATATCAAATGTGGTTGAATTTTTAGATCACTTAGAATAAAAGTGGAGCTTATTCAGGTAGATCCTCTGCTTGAATTTGGAGTATTTGGTCTCTCCCGCCACAAAAACACTCAAGGTCACAGTTATTGTGTATTTTACTGCATTAAAATAATACATAAAGTCATTCTGTGTGTTGCCAGAACATGAATTTACTTTTTCAGTGTAATACCAGGATAATACAAGACTGTATTTATTAACTTTTAGTTCTATTGATATTTTTAATACAAAATATCAGGTGTAAGGAGCACTCAGGGGAAACTTAACCTTTTTGGAAAGACCCTGATTGCTCTTCTCTAAGGAAGTCACTTTAATAGTTGCATAAAAATGATTTTGCAAAGATATCGTCCCTTGAAAAAAGCCTGTCACAAGCATGTGTAGCAGTCAATCAGTGAAGTTTTTCTCCAGCTGAATTAGAGAGCAGATTAGTTGATGGGTGATATACTTTGCAGATACAACTTCGTTGCTCTGTTATCTTCTTTCCTTGTGATATTTATCCAACCTGGTATCCCATGCATATTTCAAAAACTGCAATTCCCTGAATGCCCACTTGAGGTCTACCTACAGGAGCACCAAAACCATGTTCACACTGAGCCGAAATAATGTGATTTTAGAAAGAGAATAAACATGTTTACAGCCTGGTTCAAAAAACTGTTCGGGTCTGAATTTACAACATTAAAAAAATCACATTATTCTGTATTTAATTTAACAATCTGCGTGTTTTAAATATGCCTAAACGGATCAAAGTGTCTTGACTCTGGGAAAGCAGTAACTTCTCATGTCAGAGATTAAGATTGTTGTTGCCAAGTGGATATTATGATTGGGAAATTCTCCATAGAGTTCATTCTTGCAGCGTTACAGTAGAGTTGTGTTTGCTTCTGTAATATCTTAGTGGTGCCCTTATGCTTTATGGTAGTATTTTAATTCAGTGTGGACCTCTCTAGTTTTCTAATGGTACCAAACCCACATTGTGAACCCACATAATTGTGTAGTGTGTGTGTTTGACCATGTGGTTGTGTTTTCAGACGAGAGACACGGCACCCTGAGGCTCAGCAACCTCACTAAAAGCATGTCAGGGAAGTACATCTGCAGAGCCAGCAACACGGCCGGCTCCGACAGCTGCTCCATTAACCTGGAGGTCATCACCTGTACGTGCACGGTACAATCTACACTGCTCGCACACGTCAGCACGTTCGGCAAATACGCAGCTGTCCTTGGGTGTAAAAGCTGATCTGTGATCTGTTTCCTAGCTACTAATGCAGGTGTGGTTGCAGCAGCTACACTGGGGTCGATAGTGGGGCTGGTGGCCATGGCGCTGTTCCTCATCTTCATACTGAGGAGGAGGCGGGACACCGAGGAGGAGATAGCCAATGAGATCAAGTAAGAGTGAAAATGTTATCAGAGTCTTATGCGATTTTAGGCGGGGTTTATTTTAGGTGACTTCTTTTCGTTGGTCATGAATTCTCCCTCGCTCTTTCTCAGGGAGGATGCCCAGGCACCAAAGCGGGTTTCATGGGCAAAGAGCAACACCGGCTCTGACATCGTATCCAAGAACGGCACCCTGTCCTCCATAGCAACAAGTCCAAGACCACGAGACCCACATGCACCAAACTTTCACTACCCATACTCCCCCATATCTGCCTCAGACGCAAGCTCAGTTATCAACGCTTACCAGCTACGGCCCGGAGAAGGAAACATGCTGCAGGGACTTCCTGGTTACAACCAAGGGGGGGCCTCAGTGCAGAAACAAAAGCGGCCGTCCGCCACAAACGGCGCCCCTCCTCAGCTTCTGAGGACCCCTGCTGTTGCCACCCCTAACAGGACTGAAGGGGCTCAGCCTCAGGTGCCACCTCCACTCACTGTGTCCCCGCCGGTCCGCGCCGCTACCCTGACACGCATGGGTGCCGTGGCTGTGATGGTTCCTGCTCAGAGTCAAGCCGGCTCGCTGGTGTAGCCGGCGGGAGAAATCAGGACAGTATGTGTGCAGCGCACCTTGAAATGAAAAACGTACTTTTCTCCATGAAGACCCGGGAGGGTGTCAGGATGAAAATATCCCATAGGTTGGTTTGTGCGCTCTCTGCACAAACTCTCCCCTCTTTATTTTGAGTTTCTTTTTTTATGCTGGCTCACGAAAGAGAAATATATTTTTATTTACACACCTGTACAGAGGTCTTAAATCTAAATTGTGTTTTAGAGAATATTCATAAAAATGCCAATTATTTTTCAGAGTTGTGATAATTTCATGCAGTGTGTCCGCACTGATCTATAGAAGCTGGTTAGAGTTTTACAGTTCATGCAAAGAGAGCTTTTGGCTACATTTGTATATTATATGAACGAGCTACATGCAAACAAAACTTTTATACTTTCTTTGTATTTGGCCGTTCTTGGCTGTGTTTAAGGATCACTTACTTTCAGTCACTTCTCTCAGGCTAACTGCACTAGTTCAAACTGACCCAGCAACGTCACGATTCAGGTATTTATCTCTCAAATGTCTCACTTTTCTTTACCCAACCGTTACTTCTGTTAACTTTTTTTAATGTGACCTACTGTGTTGCTGTCAGTATGGTTTTCAGGACGTAGACGTCTACAGACAGAACATGCTTTAAAAAAATAAGAGTATTTTGCCTGTTATGATAGAAGGAATGTAAAAAAAAATACAAAATAGTAATTACAAAATGTGTTGAGGTCGATGGTTTCTGACCATTTTGTTCAAAAGTGCTTGATATCACTGGATATAGTTACTGTGAACAAACAACACCACCAGCTCAGGGAGGAGCCAGCTGATGGTGTTGTTCGTTATGAAGTGAGTAAATTAAACTCTGCAGGATGATGCAGGAGGATGTTGATGATGTATTGCTAAATGTAGCACAACGCCGTTCTGATTGTTGACATTTTTTCAATAAAGTGTTCTGGAGTGTTTGATTTCAGTATGAACATTATTTCACCCGCTTAAGCCGTTCTTTTAAAAAATTGAGAGTATGAATAAAAAGGACTGTTGAGATTATTTTATTTGGAGTGTAGTTAGCAAATAAACTTTATAAAGTGACATTTTTAACACATAGCCCATGATACGTAAAACAGCACGCTTTCTCTTGGTTAGTTTCACAAACTACAAAATAAAACACAGTAACAAGGATCATAGATATGATCTGAAAGGACACTTTTGTAAGAATGAAACTGAAACCGCATTTGATCTGCCGCAGAATAACAACCGTTTGTGTTCTCAGATGAAATAAAAATGAATATATGATGAAAGCAAAAAAAACCTACATCTTTAATCCACACTAGCAGCACCAGGGAAACTTTTGAGATGAGCTGTCAAAATGAATACAAGTACCATTACTTGAATCTCATTTGCCTCTAAGTGCGGCACTTTGTTCAGACTGGATCACTCCTTCTATAGGACAATTTCGTTGTGTGTGTTTTCTCTTGTGTGACCAAATAACTGCACTGGCCTCAGCTCTTTGTCGTGACTGATGCTAATGATTTCAGGATGCTAATCAGCTAATTATCTACCGGTAATTATAATCACGTTCAGATGTGCATGAAGTTTGCATCATTACTGGCGTTGGAGTGTAAAATGGTCACATGTGCAATTTGATTGAAGTTGTTCTCTATGTAGAAATTTCGACCTGCAGGTGGTGCTGTATGATAACTCATCTATGGATCTGTTATTGTTTTATTTAAGCACCGTCAAGACAGACTGATGATTCACCATGGACACACATCATCATGACTAAAAATAAAAACATATTTGTTCAACATCTGAAAAAAATGATACTTTACTTAGTGGTCTACCCTAAATCCTCCAATGACTTTTGTCACCTTTAGTTGGCCTTTGATACAGAGGGCACTTCAGGAAATCAGTCACACAGTAACAAACAGGAGAAGAGGACCTTCACGTCATGGTCCATGGTCCAGAGAGATGATCTATCAGGACTCTGACAGTAGATTACGAGAAATGATCATCCTCATCACCTCGTTTGTACCTTCAGCGGAAACAAAAGAGGAATAAAACTGTGAGTTTGATGACAACAAAGTCTGACAGCCTTCCACAACAGAAGTTATCACACAAGTCTGAGCCACAAGAAGAAAAACAGATACAGAATCTTACCCTCCAGGATCTGATGTACTCTGATGTCTCTGACGAACTGCTGCACGGCGTAATCTTTGAGGTAACCGTACCCACCGTGCATCTGGAGAGCCTGGTTGCAAATCTGTAAAAGTAAAAGGAGAGAAAAGGAGAAAAGGAAAGTTTTAAAAAGTGAAACTAACATGAGCCAGTTCAGTGCTGAGGATAAATGAGCAGCGTTACTCACGTTAAAACACTCATCTGTAGCAAAGAGTTTGGCCATAGAGCAGAGTGATACAGCATCGGGTCGGTTCTCTTGCAGAGCCGTCGCAGCTTCACGCACAAGAAGGCGCGATGCGACCAACTTGGTGGCCATTTCTGCCAGTTTGAACTGAAGAAACTAAACATGTCCAATGAGAAGAGAGAGGAGAGAAGATTTAGGGTAGCTCTTCAGTATCAGTGACTTGTGATCAGTGTATAAAAACAAGAGCCGCTTACCTGATTGTTGGAGAGTGTCTCTCCAAACTGTTTTCGTACCAACAGATGATCTTTAGCTAGCAGTACAGAGGCGTGTGCGGCGCCGAGTGAGCAGGAAGCTACAGACGGTGGACGCAAGAGAACACAGTTACATATAAGAAGTAGCCAACATAATCTTAGCCATTGGTGTGCAGACTACTAATCTGAGGCCTCAAATTCTGCATCTTAACTGCTTCTATCTTGGATTTCAGAGTCAGAAATGACCATATTTGGGATGAGGTTTAAGTGAGCACCTCATGTACAGAGGTTATGGTCCTAGTTGCAATGGTCACTGCAGTTAGAAATCTCCCTGCTTTAAAGACGACAAGCATGGCCAAATTTTAGGCGCAGGTAGGACCAGACCAGGTGAGACTGTAGCGGCAAACCCCCAAAATTCAATGTCAAAAAGTCACATATATTAATGTCTGTTCACTGTGTGTGTGTGTATCTGTCCTCACCGATATTGATCCTTCCTCCGTTCAGGCCCCTCATGGCGATACTAAACCCTTGACCTTCCTCACCGAGCCTGTTGGTCACTGGAACGGCACAATCCTCAAATATCACCGCTCTGGTCGGCTGAGAGTTCCAACCCACCTGCAGCAGGGATTAAATCACAGCTGAGTGACTTTGACTTGGCTCTGCCATCTAGTGGTTAACTGCTACATAGCAGATAATGTCTGAAGTGTACATACAGCCGGAGCTGACTGTTGTCTCTGCATTTATGAAGTTTACCTTTTGTTCTTTTTTGCCAAAACTGAGGCCCGGGGTTCCTTTTTCTACCACCAAACAGGAGATTCCTTTGGGTCCTTTACCTCCAGTTCTGCACATCACAACATAGACGTCTGTGTCTCCTCCTCCGCTGATGAACGCCTAAATCACAAGATGTGTTTATGGATTACTTTTGTATATTTAATAAATTATTTGAAGTTGTAAAACATGTTTAGACAGGTGGGTTATTACCTTAGAACCATTTAAGATGTAGTGATCTCCTTTTCGCTGTGCAGAGGTAAGAAGTGAGGCGGCATCACTGCCACTGCCTGATGTAAAGTTGAGACGTTTTTATGTTTTACATCTCTACAATTATATTACACCTGGAAAAGTTTTGAAATTTTAGGAGTTTCTTAGTTTTTTTTATTGTTAAATGTGAAGGCTGACCTGGTTCTGTAAGACAATAAGAGGCAAACTTTTCCATCGAACAGAGAATGGGACAGAACTTCTCCCTTTGTTCAGTATTTCCAAATGTGTCGATCATCCAGGCACACATGCTGCAAAGAGAGGAGCATAAAAACATAACTTGCATAAAATTGACACATATATTATTCTTGTGGTCCTAATAAAGGTTAAAGATTGAACTAATCAAACTTCAAAAATCTGCATGCCATTACAGCCATATCATGGGGATCATACTTGTGTATACTGATGTAGGCTGTTGTGCTAACACATCCTGTAGACAAAGCCTCAAAGATTATAGACGTATCCAGTCTGGAGAGGCCTGATCCTCCAACATCGGGCTGGACGTAGATGCCACCAAACCCTAGCTGGGCTGCTTTCCGCATGGTCTCAACTGGAAAAATTTCCTGGAGGAGAAAATGCCCATTTGTGAAAATAATACTGATGTTTGATTGGAAAAAGGACATGTCAACAATGGATAAATTAGGGCACATTTACCAGTATCAGACCTTACGGTAATTGGGATTTGATTTGGTAAGATGTCACTGCAAAACAGCAAGCATGAATATGCCGCTTTGACAACATCTCACTTGCTTCAACGCACCTTCTGGTCCCACTCTGCCATGTGTGGAGCCATTTCATTGGCTGCGAAGTCGAAGGCCATTTTTTGAAATTCTTTCTGTTCATCACTGAGTCCATGAGCGGCTGTGGAAAAAAAGAGAGAATATTTCAGATGAAATGATCACAAATACAGGTGTGGCGTACTATGAATGTAAACTAGAGTTAAATTTACAGATCTCTTACAAAACATATTTTTTGTTTCTACACTTTGAATCATTTAGATTCAAAAATATCGATCTGATATTTGTATAAATCACTGAAAACCTGCTTAAAAGGTAGAGTAGTGATAAGGGGTGTGTGGCTCCCTCTGCCTCCTGACTGGAAGACCAAGAGGAGTAGAACTAACCAATGAGAGCTGAGCTAAGAAGTATTAACGTTAACATTAATCAGGATGCGTGTATCCTCTCGTAATAACAGTAAACAGCTGTTACCTGTGTTGTTTGTAAGCTGCTGTGTAACAGTTCGTAACAGCAGAGGTGTATTACCGAACAAATTAATATGAAGTGTCAGATTTTATCACATGGAAAAACGGTGAAATTACGTTAAAACGGCTCAGAATTGACTGTTCGTGTTCAGCGGCACTTACGGTCGATACACGTAGCTATCCCTCGTCTGTGCGGGCTCCTGTTAAATATTAAACGATGGTTCCTACAGATGCTGGAGCTCAATTTGCCAATTCTACCTAAGGCTCCGACAGCCGCCATGTTTACCTTGTTGTGTTATGTCACAGAACCGCTGCCGCTACGGCTTCTGGGAAATGTAGTTAACATGTTGAATCCTGTTTTGGAGTGTGGAATGGGGGTCCTTGTTGCCTCTAGTGGCCATGAAGGAGAATAACAACCAAATGACATGGGTTTAAACTATACATTTGAGAGTTTTTAACCTTTTTTTAACATCAGTAAGCCAGAACAAGCAAAATAAATGTCCGTTTTGGGTTTTGTAAAATGTGGTGGAGTAAAAGCTGAATAATCTATTTATTTTTCTAAGGTAGTGTATCCTGTTGTCTTTTTATTATACAGCTTGATTAACAGTGTGCACAGTTACCTTATTAATATCTTCCACAATCAGCGGAGTGTGACTCTCTGAAGAAGCTACCATAGTGTTGAATCTGTATTTCCTGTTATAAAAATAACGTCTCCCAAAGTAGTTTAAACAAATCAGATTGCCTAGTCAAACTGAAAACAGCCCGAAAGGAGTTATTTCTGTCAAGTTCCTTTTTTTCTGTTAAAGTTTCATTTATAAGGGTTTTGTTTATACCTGGCAATAAACCTCCTACTGTGTCAATTTAAGTCTTTTTAAGGGGATACAGGCTCATGTAAAACAACTTTCTCTCTTTTCAAGTTGGCTCTGGATGTTGACTGGTAAAATTTTCCTATGAGCTTTATACATAATCTGCAAAATACTGAAATCTACTAACTCATTGAATTTCAACAATTGCAATTGAACAAATAATTTCAAGATTGAAAAAAGGAAGGAATCCATGATTTAACAAACAGAACTTTTAATAAGGTATATAATCAACAAAATCACACATATAAAACTATGTTGCTTTGTTCCAGTTTCACAGTCTCATGATGCATTATCTGGTCCTCACAAAGGCTTTTCATCCTCTAAACTCAGGATAAAGTCAAACTCCTCTGCAGAGAAAAAGCAGAACAATTTATGCAACACAATGTAATGACAATAATTCATGATTAAATATTTATGAGCAGCGTGTTTTTCTGGCTGAACAGCATGTGTCTAAACATACCTGTGGTCAGGGGCTGCACTGAGAGCCTGGCCCGTGTAAAAAGCGCCATGTCCTTCAAAGGCCCTTCTTTGGCTCGATGCTGCAGGTGATACTTTTTCAGCTCAGACAGAGGGATAAATCGTTTCATCATCCTCTGATACTGGACATCAACCTGAGAGAGAGAGAGGAAAAAATCAGCCTGCAGGCCTGATTTTGGAAAGATACTGCACTTTCTATTCTTTCATGATCTTACCATGCTCCACTTCGGGTTGTCACGTTTACTGGATGCATCAAAATGCACATCTTTCTTATCAAACTGAGTGTGGTCCACATAAGCCTCCTTCACAATCTAAGAAAGGAATAACACATGCATATTACATCTGTTTGTAGCTTTGTTTGAGTTGTGAAAATATCACCAAACAAGGATGGAGATTTTACTTTCATGACTCCTGCTATCCCCGGTTCCTTGCAGTTGCTGTGGTAAAAGAAAGCCACCTGCCCTTCCTTCATCTGCCTCATAAAGTTGCGTGCCTGCAGAGGATAATTTAGGGGAACACAACCTGGGATAAACTAAACAATAAACAGAGAAATAATCCTTTCAAAGCTGATAAGAAAAAAATCTCAGCTCTACCTGATAATTGCGGACACCGTCCCAGCAGCTGGTCTGGTCAGGCAGAGCCTTCAGGTCTTCGATCCCAAACTGCAAAGTGAACCAGAAACATCAGATGGGTGAAGAAGAACTACAGACTGTGCTGGTCAGACTGGTGCTGCTCTATACCTTCATGTCTATGCCGTTCTCGAAGCGGCTCTCAGGTTCAGACTTCATCAGCCAGCACTCTGGAGAACCAGCTGATTTTGGCTTGACCTTAGTTGCCCCATTTGCTTTTCTTTTGGAGCCAGCAGCTTCTTGTGAACCGTCTTCATCTTTTCCTTAATGATTGAAGCAAATATTATAGAAAATGTTTAAAAATCTGTAAATAAATCAATCAGTCTTTTTTTATATAGCACTTTTCATACACAACATGTAGCATAAAGTGCTTTACACAGTAAAAGGAATAAAAGAAACAAAAAATACCCAGATCTAACCCAGCCTAAAATCTCATTCCCACCCCATGATCTTAATGCAACAGGAATGGTATTAAAATGCATGAACTTAAAAAGGGCTGATTTCGTGGAAACAGGAATGTGCGCACTGAGGAAAAGTCATGTTAAAACTCAAGATAAGGAAACACTGGAGGTTTAGGTTAAAATCTAAAAACAAAGAAACATAGAATGAAATTTAAGACATAATAAATAAAATGAAATAAAAACAACATAAACATAAAGTAAGAGCACCAAAATAGCTCAATAAAATACGATCCTGTGACTAAAACTAGAATAGATAAATGCTAAAACACTTATACAAAGTGAATGATATAAAATTTTGAGTTTGGTTTTAAAATCATTAAGATTAGGTGCAGTCCTCAGGTCTTCAGGTAAGCTGTTCCATAGTCGGGGGCCACAGTAATAAAAAGATGGCTCACTGTATGTCTTGGTTTTAACTCTAGGTAATGTTAACAGAGAACTCCCTGAAGACCTGAGGACTCTACCTGGCTCATAAGGTAAAAGAAGATTAGATAGATAAAGCAACCTTAAAATCTTTTCTAAAAGAGAAAATCTTCTACTTCAAACAGGATGTTTTTGCTTTACTTACCTGGTTTTGTTGTCTTTTCACTCACTTTGGACCTTTTCTTGGGAGGCATCCTTGTGAATATAGAGAAAAATGTAATTTCATGTGGCATTTTCAGTCATTTATGAGTTGCTGCTGCTGCTGCTGGAGGAAATCAAACGCCTCACCAGATTGAGGAAAGTGAAGTTAAGCACAAAGAGAAACCTATACTGGCATAAACTGACAGTATATTTCAGCTTCAGGTCATCTATAAAACGCACCCCTGCTCATCAGGAGGTTCACCCTAAAGGTTCACTAAAGCCCCGCCTTTACCCCAGAGACAGTCAGAGGAGCGTTCAACCATCAACCCAGAAAAACCCGCGAAAATAAAACCAGTACATATCATGACAACTGTATCTACATCAGTGCGTCAGATTTATGCAAATGTATGTCTTCACTTTCTTTTCTTAAACTACAAAAACTACGCAACAGTCCCATTTTGGATAATTTAATCCCCCGAGTGAGTGAGTCCTTAAACGCCCCGTAGATGTCATGAGGTATCTTAACGATGATGGGGGGGTAAATGAAATGTCTGTTTACTAAAACAGCAAATGAGTCTGCATCCTTGCACCCTGTCCTCCTGACAAACTCATGTAAAACACTTTCATTTCGGATAAAGTCTCACCTTAAGTCGTGTGCAAGTCGTGTTTCTCATAGAAACAGGTCTTCTTCATGTTGTTGTGGTGTCTCATGAAACCGAAAATAGCTCATTACTCCCTCCATGAGGCCAGGAACAGAAAACACCCACTTTCACTCCTGGGTGGATTTAACTGGAGTCACTTTATTTATCATACAGACAGCATTTGACGTGGACTCTCTGATGGTTCTGCAGTCGTAAGAGGAACAGTAACATTTGCAAACACACCACAGTCACAATCTGTCGCCATCACATTCAAACCGCCCTATTGCACAGTTCCAGTGAATAAATAAAGGTTGTAAATCTTGATGCTCCAAATTCTGTAAGTGGAACTGGATGATGAAGAAAAAGACTTAAACCACTTTTTCCACAGCAGATATTCACAATAAGCCATCAACCTGGTGAATAAAAAAGTAGGTTTGACTTATGCATGTACAGATCTTTATCAGCAGATATATTCACAATTTTTAATTGTTACATGAGCAATCTGTATATAAATCACCTCACCTCTATCACACTCCTTAGTTTAACCCTAGAACACTGTCACCTGGTGATTTTCACCTGACAAACATGTTGACATGATTTTCATGATGTTGTGTTTGTCTGAGTATCATGGGTCCCTGGGTAGTTTCAGCATTTCCTTTGACATCTTTGAAGGTAAATTTGTTTCCCTGATCCAAAACCTGCTTTTTCCTACAGGCACATGTTCGTGTGATTTTCAGTAGTGATAGAGGGTAAAGTAGGTTTGGGTGGATTTGACAGCTGCATGTAGGTAATAAGGTCAGTAAGAGAGGTCCTGGAATTTGCATGCTATCTTTATTTAGGGCAGTGATTATGAATAACTATCACACAGTAATGATTTTCAAGGTAATTCATATGGTGATAAGAAATATTTTAGTCAGCTGGTCATTTTTACTCCCTCGAAATAGGCCATATTTTGGTTCTCTCTCCTGCAGCAGTTATTGTGTCAAAGACCCTGAGTCTTCACCAGGGAAGACTCACATACTAAGCTTACAGTTTATGTATGTATATTTTTAGGATTTTTTTTCGTTCATGAATGCCTAATTTCTGTTATTTTGTTGCATTTGTATATGGTCCCCTCAGGACCCTTTGCCCCCCTCCCTTAGGACATTGCACAGTTAAAAATATAAGAAAACTACTTTAATTTTTCATGTATTGTCCTATTTTGATATATTTTGATGACAAGTACTTTTTCTTGGGTACATTAAAAATCACCCAGCGATAGTGATGATGTTAATAATTTTAGCGATAGTGTTCTAGGGTTAAAAACTAATATTGCTGTCATATCGACTTCTTAACCTGTGCTGACACATTATGTGAAGCAATTCTCGTAATACACCCAACTCTCTGAAAAACATGCATCACCATCCAGTCAAACACTTTCACTCATTTCTGTGACACAACTGAGTCTGAGCCTTTTTTTTTTTTCATTTGGCATCAATTTATTCAACTTTTAGGGACAAGGAAAATTCGATTAGCATTTTGCAAAAGATAGACAGTTCTACAGTAACTATTTCTCTGGTTAAAAGACTAAAATAATGTTAGAGGCAGGAAGATTTCATTTGCTTGATACACTTAGGCACAACTCTGGAGTCCCTAATAGAGAGGATACAGAAGACTTCACACTATCAGACCTTTTTTTCCCTAACACCACTGGAATGCTGAGGTAAAGCGTATGAACATGGAGGACATTTTCTGTGGCACCGTGTGCTGGATAATCAATGTACACGAGCTGGACCGGGGAGCAGGATTAAAGGTTTTAGCCGGTCTTATTTACAGATTAAAAAAATGGATAATACTTCGGTTTTCTCGCTCAAATAAAGGACAGAATTTTTCCGTTTCAATTACATTTTGTGCAAACAGACAAAGAGGAAAATGTGTTTATTATGGTAGTAGCAGTGCAAAGTTATCTCAAATTTATTGACCTTATTACAGTGTTAGGAATGCTTTATTTTAGGGTGGAATGTTGAAGTTAAATAGTGATGAATAATGATCCAGTTGTGTTAATTAGAAGATTAGAAATGATCCCATAATAGTATTAATAGACTGGAACGAAGATAGAGCTTAAAAATGTAAGAATATCACATGAAAAGTTTTACACAGTGAAGATGGCGACAGGTGATTAGTTTGATTCCTGTAAAAAAAGAAAACGAGAAAAGGAAAAGCATTAACGGGGAAGGGCAGGACCAGCAGCCTGAAGCCACGCTGAACGCCTCATGCAAACTGTTTCATTGTTCCCATAATGCAGTGCTGTATGTGAGCCTCCCTTCTTCCTCCCTTTAAGAGCAGCGGCTGCGAATAAACACAGCTGCTTCCCCAGATGTTGCACAGTCGACAGGTTTTCCCTTCAACACAGACGCCGATGAAGAGTCTGGTGGGAGGAGAGACTGCGGGGCAGGGCGGGGGGTGGGGTGGGGGGAGTTGATTCTACCCGCTCTCCTCCTTCGCCGCCTGCTCCAGCGCGCTCTCTGATGCGGCCGAGCCCTCGAACCTCTGAGAGGCGATGGCGGCCTGATGAGACATGCTCTTCCTCACCACGTCCCCTTTCCTCCACAGTGTGATTTCCTGGGTGGAGAGGTGAAGGAGATATTTAATCAATGATTTGCGTTGAAGCTACAACAATTAGTATGTAACACAGTGTTCCCTGACATTTCTACTACAGTCTTTTACATGCAAACACTAGAAACTTAGCAAACTTAGTGCTACTAGAGGCTACTATAGCTTTCATATTTTCTGTCTCGACCTTCATTTGTATCAGTTACCTGCTGTTTGAAATAGCGCCTCTCCTCCTCGTCGATCAGCACCAGGTTCAGGTAGTAGCGCACCGAGAACTTCTTGTTGATGTCTCTCATGGTGGGAGTCAGATCATAACCAGCCAGGAATAACCGGATGGGAATGGACTCTCCTGAAAGATGAAGAGCGATGTGACCGGTTGCATTATATCAGCTGTGATATATCAACTGACTGAAAACACGAATAAGTGAGCTAACCTCTGACTGGAGCTCCATCCATGATCTCGTACTTGGCGATGGTGTCATTTTCGTGGTACACGCTCGGGCCAGTGCCTGTTGTCTCACGTTTGATGATGTCGATTTCCATGTGCTTGATCTTAATCCTTACCAGAAGGAAATAGATTTTTCCCACGATGACGTCTTTCAGATGGTACCTGTCAGAGGAAAGTTATGACAAAAGCAAAGAATGAAAATGAGCACTAAGATCAGGTGCTGCTTAAAAAATTACAATATTTACACCAATAACAAAAAATACAGATCTGAGCTTCTTAAAGTTGGTGTAAATTTTGGCCCTCCCCCTGATGACAAAGCAGTCTGTACACAAAAATGCTGTATCTAACCCAATAGACTTTTGATAGTGAAATAATTAATGTGAATATTCAGTTTGGAAAATGTAAGAAAGGGAATTGTTTCTTCAAACTCCACTGATGCCTACCCCTCCTCAACAGTTCCAGGCATTAAAAATTAAAGTATAAAAGTCAAACATAGGGGTCTTGTTTGCCCTTGTGCATCATAAAATGGCATCAATATGAATTCCAGCCTGTTACATAAATGCAAAAAAACTCCTCACAGGAGCTTTAAATGTGAATATTTTCCAGTTTCTTGTAGCTCCTGTTGCCACATAAACTTAACTTTGTACAAAAACAAAATGTTGGAAGACGACACTTTGAAAAACTGTTTTCAACAACTGCTACAAGACTGTTTTTTCCCTTTATTTTCTAAACAAATGAATGATATGTGCATCTGTTTTAATTGAGCTTACTCATGTCCCCTATTCTATCTTTAGGTTTTCAGGAATAATACTTCTGTGGTTGCGTATTCATACAGCATTCCAGGGATTAAATGTGCTTTTTACATTCAGACTTACTTACTTTCTTACACACAAAGGCACTCACACTTCTCCAGACATTTTTCCAGACTGGTCGAGGAAAACAAGTAAACCTCAGACCTCACTTCAAAGTCTCACCTAACACGTTTTTCTAGCTTGACATTAAAAGCAGTAAATTAACAGAAAATGTACAGATGAATGAACTGGTTTGTCACGTACTTGGATTTGTTGTACTCAAACTCGATATGGAGGCAATCCTCTATTCCTACTTCCATTTTGATGGAGGAGTTGAGCTCAGGGTAGGTGCTCAGTGTGTGGACCACAATGTCCATCTCTTTACTGATATCATTCAGTCTTCTGATCACTGTGGCGCGGAGGAAATATCTACAGAGACAAAACAATCACATAAGAGGTGTTTGTTAATCGTAAAAACCATCATATGAAATACAGACTAAAAGTTAAATATAGGCTACAGCAGGTACTTAAAGAGCCGTTAAAATGTAACCGTGTAACACCTGCTGTCTCTAAAGGGAGGTGAATGATCAAACTCACCTTAGCTTCACATTCTGACCCGTGTAGGACTCATAGGGTTTTTCAACATGGGTGAACTCAAAGTCGAAGGTCTGCGACTGAGTCATTTCACCTGGTCTTGCGAGATCTTTCACCAGGGATACAAACTCATGATGGTTTCCTCTGTCGTAATACAGCTCTGTTGTTTCAAAAAGAGAGGAGAAAAAAAGATACCATCAACAAAGCAATACAAATAAGAAAACTGATACAATAATGGTTGAGTTAATAACTTTGGTTCTTGAGTCATTGCTTCAATGGTATGGAGGGATGGATGAGCTTCTCCTGTACTTGTATATTAACTATCCAGAGAGTACTTTATTCGCTGTTATTGTCACACCTTTAAGCAGCGCCTAACTCAAACTGAACAGAAAGCAGAACTGTAGTTTTGTACGTTTATTACAACATCTGAATGTGAGATTAAATGTGACAGCGATAGCTCTTGAATGAAAAAGAAAGAACCACCTCGGCAACTGTTAAAAACATCTATTTGCTCCACTGGGGTTTGTGTGTAAAGCATCATCAACAAATTAGTTTAACACCTAGAGCATCACCTAGATTATTGGATTTTAGTACAACAAGAAAGAAAATTGGAAAGAGAATTTAAGATGTGCACTCAAAGACACTATCAAATGACAAGTCTCCTCGCTTAGTCTCTGCAAACTACATTTATTTAAAAGAAAAAATGTACTTTCATAGTTTCTTGCAGGATTTGATGCTACTTTCATGTCTATTATCAAATTATCTAAAGTAACATGTGGATACTTTGCTTGTACTTCTACAAAAAAGGGCACTAAACTCAAAGCGACTCTAAGTTTCAGCTCCCTGGAAAGACATAATGTAAAATTCTTGCAGGATTCTGGGAATAAACAGAAGCAGCGTGACTCTTGTTTGAGGACTGAGTGTGCCACTTCAGTAAAAATGGAAATCTTAAACTGGATAAACTGTCTTTAACAAGAAACGTGTCTTTTGAATTCAGCAAAAAATATAAAAAAGATATGTTTTAAGGCAATCTGAGGTAGAAATTTTAAACTATTTATTCTATTTTATTTATTAGTTCAAAAGATCAGAGCATGATATTAAAATTAGAATAATAATGCTTTTAAAGAGCAAATAAATGAAGGTGAATGTTGAAATCAGGTTTAAAAGGTCAAAATATGACTTAAAATTTAAAATTGGAATCTGAAGTATAAAAATGACACACGTCTAAATACTGAGTTGAACAAAATCAAAGCATGAAATAAAAAAAAACAATCATGTTTGACTTGTAATCTTGAAATGCGAAATTGAAAACATAAAATAAAACATTAAAATATTTTTCCCCCCACATTCTTGACTATCTATCAAATCTTTCTTACTCTTTAATTTCCCTGATTTTTGTGGCTTATAAAGGAGGTTTTAAATAATAGTGCTAATGTTTACATAATTATACTGGAAGAAATCTGCAGACTTCATACTGGTGGGCCAATAATAATACAAATATGATATGATCTTGTGGGCCAGATATAATTGTTCCACAACCCAGATTTGTGCTCTATGGTTTGGGTATTAATCCAAACACAATAATTTGAGTTCAGCTCCTTACATCAACCTTTCTGATATCTTTCTATTCTTTTAATAGGAACAAGACAGACATGGCAGACATGAGTGAGGTCTTGACCCACCTATTTGTCCCACAAACTCGATCTTGATGCCCTGGTGCTCCAGCCTCTTTCCTGGGTTCTTCAGTGTGACATTCACCTTCCCACTGACTGTCTCTCCATCATAGAAAAGAAAGTATTTGTCTTTCTTCCCATCCTCAGTTTTGTGCTCAGCCTTCTTCCTCGTTTCAGCGTCATTTAAGACAACATCAATGTCTGCACTTTGTCCGAAACTAAAGAAACTCATTTTAGCGTTTGAAGATGATTTGGCTGACTCTTAAATGAAGGTTTTACGCTGATTTATGAGCAAACTGAACCCAAACCCTGCTAATGTTTCGAGGAGGAAAAACAAACACCCAGTTTGGCCTGCAGGGTGGCAATCTCAGTCCCTTCTCTGGGCATAAAACACACTTTTAGGGGTGAAAAAAACCGGAGGTCCTGAATAGACAACACTATTATAGCTACATGTCCAGAATGATTTTTAAAGACGAAGCAAAATTGCGACACGATAGCACAAGCGAAACGCACGATAAGAAGTCCATCAGCAAAATCAGCGGCTTCTTCTTCCTCCTTTTTACCGTAATGTCCCTGAAAAAACAGTCTGAAGAAGACACGAATTACTCTGCTCCAGAATGTAAAAAATACACGCTGTGTAAATGTGAATTACATGCTTGTTTTCTGTAAGAAAAGACGGTGAATGTTGTCAAATGATCAGGATGTACGACACCTGCATCACATTAAGTGTTTCCGGGTGGCGCTTTTCAAAATAAAAGCCAGCAAAATAAATGGGCCTTTTGTAAATACTTAAAAAAGTAAAAGTCCGTCTTCAGAGTTTCTTTTTAGATTTGTGCGGTCTATCTTACGTTTTAGTTAAGATCTATACTAGTTCTCATTTTACTCTCAGTTAAACTAATAGCCAATGCACTTAAAATAAAATAAAATGAAATAAAATAAAATAATAATAATAATAATAATAATAATAATAATTAGCATTAAAGGTAATAACCAACTTGGGGCTAACCAATATTAAGTTACGCGTTCCAGTAACTAAGTTACTTTTGCGGTAAGGAGTACCGTGATTTATGCTGCGTTCATGTTACCGTGAACGTCAGAAGTCGGAGCTGAAAATGACATCACACCCAAGTTCCCAATGTTTTAGTTACCGAGTCAGAAAAAAGCAAAATCGGAGGCCTGGAACAAGATGGCTACATCTACAAAAGTTATTTTAGCACTTGCCTTATATTCGGACAAAGGCAAGTGCCAAAATAACTTTGGTGAATGTATCAATCTTGTTTCAGCCTCCGATTTTGCTTTTTCCGACTTGGTAACTGAAACGCCGGTAACTCTGGTAAGACGTCATTTTCAGCTCGAACTTCTGACTTCCAAGGTAACTCGAACGCAGCATTATTACTTTGGCAAAATCAGCAACGTGATTATAATTACTGCGATTTAAACAGTTACTCGTTACTTCACTTGCATAAGTTAGAACTGCAGTTTTCGCGTTGGACGTGAAGCACACCTGACGCAGCGACGTCCAAGTAAACGAATGAAAACAAAAATGGCGGAAAAATGGCGGCAGTCGGCGGCAGTCCGGGCGTGGGATTTCTCGCGGAAATAGCAAATTATTTTTTTTCTTTCTGATGTTAAAAGACGAGAGGAGGAATATTGTGGTGACCTGTAATCTATGTGGAGGTTCGAGAAGTCTACCTGCATCAAGGAGGAGCAATTCTAATCTGATGAAACTTCTTCAGAAACAACTGGCATCTACCAAAGTAGCTGAAAAAGACCCTGAAGGTATGCAAGCAAGCCTCCCTGGCTATCCAGTTAGGAAGCAACACATAAATAAGAGAATTTAGAGTAAAAAGAAATTAAGTAATTTTCCCTATTAACAAGTTACCTTGAAAGTAACGAGTAGCCTGAAGTAACTGAGTTACTTTTGAAACAAGTAACTGTAACAAAGTCACTAATTTAAAGCAACTTGCCCAACACTGGTTATAACATTCAAAAACTGTCTGCATACTTTAACTATTGTATATCTAATTCTATTTGCTCATTAAACCCATGCTGAAATGTAATATATAAATATATATTTCATTCCCATATAAGAAATATCTGTACATACGAGGTGAAAACTGCAGATGCATGGACAAATTTTATATGAAACCGATTAGAAATTGGGACAGTTTTATATGTGTATATATATGTGTGGTCCATAAAAATGTATAGGTATCATATATTTTAACGTATATGGGCAAAACAAATAATTTCATGTTCAAATAAATCGAAAAGATATTCTAAATGTACCTGCTTTTATAAATCAAACATATTTGTGTGTATTAAATTTCCTTTTGGTGAGGTTGTTGCACCTAGCAGTTATAGCATGATGTAGTTCTACGATTTGTGGGCCTCAATTTACAGGCCACAAGTGACAGCAGCTATAAAATTCTGGGAAACATGTTCTCAGAAGGGTGGCTATTTCACGATTTCAATTTTCAATCTGTTCTTCCTCTGTATTTTCATAACTCCACAGAGACCAGGCCTGTCCGGTCTGGCAACTGCCTTATGATGTAAACACAGCTAGTGGGACTTCCGTCTGAGTGTGTGATAGAGGCTGCTCTGCATGATTGGAGTACTATCTAATAGATATTTTTTAACAGTGGAAACATGAACCATGAGGCCAAAAGCTGCAGATGTTATGACCCAGCTAAGCTGCACTACATACAGACACGTTTCCTAATATGGCCTACATTCATGTTTTTTTTTTCAAAGAAGGATCATCTGTGCATACAGAACCCCTGGGGATTTCAGAGAAAAAGTATGCTCACATTGAAAGGAACCACAATTCACTCCTTAAAAGCCTTTTCATAAAGTAGCCCACAAGGCAGATTTATCATGGTAGACATCAGCAATCAGATGAAGAGAATACAAAACCTTTTGTGCTGAACATTCAATCATAGAATTTTTAGCCTATTGTTAATATTACACCTAAAGACCAAGAAGAGCCTCATGATGCGGGGTATTCCAGGGCCCTACTGACTGGAAGTCTAAAGTCTTCTTTTCTTTTTGAAACGTGCGACATTTGCTAAAATAGTCACTTTCATTGATATGCCTCATAGCAAAGAAACTTGAGGGGTAAGGTACCGTTTGTAAATGTTTCATACTGATACACAAAAGATCTTCGACACATGAACAGTTCAAATGTTTTAATAGTAACAAAATAACATGAACAGACAGCATTAATATCAAATAAACAGTGGACATTTACAACAGTTCCTGAGTTGTTACACAAATCATTGACACTAATGCTTGAAATGACAGTCTGAACACTGCAGAACACACTGAACAGTTAATACTGCAAATGATTTCAAATAAACTGTTTTACTGCGTATTTACACTAAAATATGGTGCATAACGTAAGAAAATTAAAAGATCAAAAAAAGTATGTATTTATGTACATTAAATACTAAGCCGAACTGGACAATATGTCCAATACTCAGAAAATAATTAGTAAAGCACAGAAGGTCACTTATACACAGAAACAGCACTCTAAAACTCATACTTCACCACCCTTATAGTACATATTAACTCTGCAGCATAGTTGGATATAAGGAATTCAAATTCACAGGTTACTCTGTACTCGTACATACTTTTATCATCTATAATTATAAGAGAGGCCGATAAATTGTGCCTTAGGAATCTGAGCTCATCAGCCGTTTACAGTCTGCCGCTTATTGCCTGTTTAACTACAGTATATACAAAACAGTGTGAAACTTATTCTGAACATGTTTATCTGACAAACACAGACAATGTAAAGTAGCTTTGTAAAACAATTTCCGTGTACTCAGTAAAAAGTTATAAAAGAGGATTTGTCCAAAAACAGTGAGGGAATGTAGCTTCCAGCATCTTTTGTAATGACACCATGAGCCAAATATCAAATTCCACAGCTCTAAAATAATAGTTTAAAAAATTAGCACGGAAAAACTGAGTGAGGATGGAGTGAAAAAAAAAAAAAGAATGGTGTTAAATTCAACAGAAACACGTTTTTAAAAAAAATGCCGTTACATTATAAAAACATGACGAAGTGCTACGAAATGATACTAAAAGTACTTTGGCAAGTTGGTTGATTGGATTTTGATGTGCATCAGAGAATAATGTGCCTCGGTAACACCTCAAACTTTCCCATCTGGAGCTATATTGTAGCAAGTTAACCTCAGCAGTTTTGTGTTCATCTTCTTTTCCACCTCGTCTTCTGTCCCAGCCGTCAAATTATGAACGAAGACTTGTGGCGAAAATGGCCCTGAGAAGACACAGCGATGAGATCAGAACAACTCCTGTTGTACTTTCTTCATTCTCAGTGAGACAGAAAATCAGTACTGCATATTACAAAGTTTGTTTACCTCGTCAGCATCACCATAGTCCACTCCATCGTTTTGTGCTGGCCAGTTGTAGCTGAAACAGATTTAATTTGATGTGTAAACAAAGACATCATAACACATCACCCTTTTTCTTTTCTTAGGCTCTAACTTTGTACTCACTTATTTTCATTGTGACCTTTTTTGTCAAAGCATCCTCGTTTAAGGGAGTGACAAATGGTTGCAAACACACAGATGAACAGAACCACTGCACCGAAACCCTTGAGGAAAATCCCAAGGATGTCCACGTCATCTGCAACAGGAGATAGAGATTACATCTTAGCGGCATAAGGTGGCCTGGGAGATATTCGAGATCATTGACACTTTTGCTTTCTCATTTACTTGATTCTGGTGGCCATTAAATAGCAATAGCAACAGTCTGCTATTTCTCAATTGCAGATTGTTGCTCTGTTGTCAGGGAAACACACCAGTGCCAAGGATACGGCTCAAATCAAAGAGATACCCAAGTAGACCATAATACTAGTATTAGAATAAAGTCACTAATATTGACATTTGTGCTTTCTCACATACTCAATTATGATGGCCATTAATTAGCAACAGCTTATAGCAACAGTCTGCTATTTCTCAATTGCAGACTGTTGCTCTGTTGTCATAGAAACACATTAGTGCCAAGGATATGGCTCTAATCAAAGACTCTGAATGGCTAATCACACTGTAATCATATCAGTGCACAGAAAGATGTCAAGTTAATCTGATGACAAACTGAGGAAAACGGTAAACAAGCCAAAAATAGAGGAGAAATGGCAGGAGAGGTTAAAGACACAAACTCTGCGGGCAACAGTGAGTCATGAATCTATAGATGGTACATCAAGTAAACACCTTACAGAGCAGAAGAGGTTCAAGGACTGAAAAATGGAAAAGAAAAGACAAAAACTGACAGTGATGAGGCAGAAAAACCCACTCAGGTGCTGCACTGACTTGTGCCATCAGTGGGAATATTCAGTTTAACTGTAGTTATAACAAAAGTTAGCTTATTTTTAAGAAATTTGAGTAAAATGTAAATAGAACAAAGTTAGCAAATCTTAAAAAGGCAGAGTTAACTGTTACTATGTATGTGTCTCAAACTGTGAGCAGAATAGGCTGTTTGGAGGTTTAGGAGTTGCATAATAAGCAGAATAATGTGTAAGAAGTGCAGCACTAGTTATAAAAATGTTGAAATACAATACAGCTCAGCAAGGGACTTGTGATTTTATCATTCATTAGCATTTTGGAGCATACACATCTAAACCCAAACTGTGATTGTGTTTTTTCCTGTCTTTTACATTTGCTGCAGAACACCACTTCAGAGAGAAGTTGAATTTGTTGGGGAGGATGTTCCTCTCTCTCTCATCTTCTGAATTCATTAACCTCTTCTTCTTGCTGTCAACTGCTTAGTGGCTCAAAATGTCATAAAGGTCCTGGGTTCAAAGCTGACATGGCCAGTTGGGACTTTTCTATGTGTGGATGTGCTGATAGAGCAAGTCATTTGTCTATATGCAGTGTCAAATATAAGTTTTGAGGATGGGTTTGTGACATTCTATAGGCTGAGACTCTTCTTTTTGAACATGCTGATAAAGCAAATTGTTCGCCTATGTGCAGCCTTGAATCCTAGTTTTGAGGATGTACTTCTCTACAGGCAATGTGCTGAACGTCAAAGTGGTTTAACTTCAAAAATTGAGTTTCACTTTGACCTCATTTTGAAGTGTTTGGGGTTATTTGTTTTTTAGTGAACAGTTGAGAAATAGTCGACAGCTCAACTCCTGACTTCCAAATTGAGGCCAAATGCTTGACAATGGCTCAACCCCCAACAGATCTTGAGATGAGAAGCTGTAAAAAAGCTAAATGGATCGATCTCCTTGAATTTCAGGTAATGGATTGGCTTTAGGTCCCACTACAAACAAGTGGCTGCTGGAAGAGAGTAGGTGAGTTGTGTTTAGTCTCTTTGTTAAAGAAATTAGGCAAAGTTAAAAAGATGTTTGGTGGTTAGTACTATGGATGGGACCCTATATGTCCTGTTGATGAAGTTAGGTGCTGTTCTGAACATTATTTGTGGCTATAGAGTGGCGTTTTGGTTGAGGTTTGTTTATGGCTCCAACGACTGCTGTATATTGCTATCCTGTGGTCGTTACTAAAGTTGATATAACTAGAAAAGTAAGCGGTTGGAAACATTCATCTCTCGAGGGGCTGTCTAACTTGGTGTTATGGTGTGTTTGACCCTAAATTAATTTTACGCTGGAATATCCCTTTAAAGCTCACATGCTCTGTTAGTTTTGTACTTAAAGTAGATTACCTGACCTTATAATGAAGCTTCCAACACTCTGTACATTACAAAACAAAGATGGTCTTCTTCGTAGCCTTGTCTCTCCTGCTTGCTGATGCTTTTTAAAACTTGGACTTTGATCCTTTGATACTACCTTCCCATCTAGACATGAACACCGAGTGTTCCTGCGAGTCTTTGAAGTGTAATTTGCTTTTTATCACGCTGACTCCTCTCTTTTGAAACTGTTTTTAGTAACAGCATTGACAGACATAAAAGAGACCGAAAAAGACGTTCATTTTCTGAGAAAGCCTCATAAAGCCTGAGTCAGACATTTCCATACTCACAGACTTCCATCGTCTGAGAGGGACATTGCGCATGTCCCGCATCGTTCTTTGCCTGGCAGTAGTACTCCCCTGCGTCCTCCTTCCTCACTCTTCGAAATTTCTGAGGAGATATTTTTAGAAACGTTTCAGTGCAATGACACATTGCATTGTCAACAAAATGCTAGTGGATGTTTGGCAGTGGATAAATTCTTCTGACGTTCTCTAAAGAGCCATATACTTTTATTGTGCTCCAACATTGTGGAGTATGATCTCCATATGTGTTTGTAAAGAAGGTGAAATATCTGGCATGAATTTATACTCATTTTTATTACTCTGATGTGATCCAAAAATAAATCTGCTCGGCTTCTAATGCATACTGATTCTCCTCTCCTATACAAGCTCTATTTTTAGCATTTTAACTTGTTGTCTTTACACGCATAGCTTAAGCCTGCTATAAGTCTGAGGTTTTATTCAGATTAAGCTGTTCACATTTACATCAGATAAGCTGTCATGTTGTATCATGATGCTTAAGAGTCACATCCATACACAGAACATCTGACAGGGGAAGATTATTTTGAATAGTGTCCGTCTCACCAGTCCTCCAGTGTCAGGATTGATGCTGTATGAGGAGTTGACCAGCCTGGGGCTGTTTTTGGGGTCTTGGGGAAGCTCCTCGCTGTTGTGGAACCAGCGGTACTGAGGAGCGGGGAAACCCTCGTTCTCCAGGCATCGCAGCTCAGTTGACGTTCCAACCGTGACGGCCTCAGGCACGCTGCACCGCGGTACTACAGGTTTCACTGCACACAGGCACAGGAACACAGCAATATGTACAACTGCTCTCTGCTTTTTTTTCTACAGGCTTTGATTTTCTCATCTCAGTCTCAGCAAGACAGTAAAAATGTTTCAGTTACGACAAAAATGTCAGAAAATACAGGGCTTTCCCAGCAGAGGAGAATTCGTCTCACTCCCCATAGGTGTTTAATTCAGATGCTGATCTTCCCTCCTTTCATTCTGCAGCTTGCTCAGTTGTGGCTGTTCCCTGTCTATTTTTGCATGAGACAAAGTTTGGAAAATTGTGATACCATGGGGGTGAGTGAAACAACCTTTTAAAAGATTTCGTGGCATACTAAAAACAAAAGTGTGCAGCACCAAACTTGAATAAGAATGACATAGATCTGTTTAGGTTTTGGGGGGCAGCCTGTCCTATATTGTGCTTTAGTATGACATGGCAATGATAATCCGGTTTACAGTTAGCAGAATGAATGTAAGATAAAGGAAATGAACAGGAAATACACAGACTTCTGTCATGTAGGGTAACAGAGCCTCTTCCCCTTCACTGTAAACAGATTCCTCATTACTTTCACATGCAGTAATCTCCAAGAAGCCCCTCTCTGAACCAGGAAAAATATGTGAAACGTCAAACTGCTGCTACAATAAAAATCTCTCATATAAACACAATTTAACAAAACTGTTCCAAAATTTCTGAAGTACACGATCACTTTATATTTCCCTTAAATAAATGTGGTCAGTCAGCAGCAAATCCTCCTTTCACAATACCTCGTACTGCGAGGCTAATAAGTATCTCATCAAAGTCTCTTTGATCGTCGATGGCGGCCACCTCGCAGCGGTACTCGGCAGTGTCTGACCGGGTGGTGTTGAAGATCAGGATGTTGGCCGGCTCTCTGAGCTGAGCTCTGTGCTCCAAGTCCCCTATTCAGAGAGGGAAAAAAACACTTTACAATTGCTCATTCACATACACAGCGTGACTTCACAGTTCAAACAAGAATTTGAGGCCAAGTTCTTCCAAGGTACCATTCATTCAGTCTTTTCTTTGAAATGCTGGTGCTCTAACTGGTTGATGGGTTTTTTTAAAAAGGAGAGTTTCCAAGCCGTTTACCTGCGATCCTGTTTTGAAAGTAAACATAGCTGGGAACGCCGTTCTTAATCTTCTTCCACTCAATCCTCGGGTTGTTTGTGGAGATGGACTCTATTAAGCAGGTCAGTTCGATGGCTGTAAAGAAAACAGAATGCATTAGAGCAGGAGGCAGGCATCCCAAATCAGGGAAAGAGGAAAGCTACTTTGGCTTAAACAGGTTCAAGTGATTTTATTTTCCCAGCAACTTACGCTCAAACTCATTTGCCCAAACAATCTTGTCCGTGGTTCGGAGGATTACCCCCAGTGACGATGGAACGTGACCTGCAGGGAAAAAAAATAAACAAGACGCTAAATGCTGTGTAACCCTGATGCTACACACAACCTTTTTTTTTCATTAGCAGACATGATCAGCTGGGCATGTTTCCTAATAAACAGTGGTGGATTAGAGTGATTAAATATAGAGAGAGTGAGCGCCTTGGGCTCTGATTTAGACCTATTAATTGCTTTCTATTTTTGAGCAGAGGAGATTAACACCTGGAGCCAACATGTGTGATTTTAAACATGCTTTTTTTTTTTTTTTAATGAAAGTAAGTTTTGGAAAGAATAACCCTCATCCACGCATTCATCACTGCAAGACTGGACTACTGTAACAGCATCCTTTATGGCTCATCTTCCAAACTCATCAAAAAACTCCAGACCATCCAAAACTCTGCCGCCCGCCTGCTCACCCACACCCGCTCCAGAGACCACATCACCCCTGTCCTCCTCCAAAATCTCCACTGGCTCCCTGTTAAACACCGTATCACCTTCAAAATCCTTCTCCTCACCCGTAAAGCTCTTCACAATCAGGCCCCCTCCTACATCAGTACCCCGCTCCACTGCCACAACCTCAGCTCCTCTGATGCCAACCTCCTGTCCCCGACGACTCATCGAACCTGGGGGGACAGGGCCTTTTCCATTGCCGCACCCTCCCTCTGGAACTCTCTCCCTGTCCATATCAGATCCTGCACTGACTTGCCCTCCTTCAGATCCCTTCTGAAAACCCACCTTTTTAAAATTGATTTTAACATTTGACTATTTTACCTATTTTTATTTATTTTATTTTATTGCTTCATTCAAATTGTGTGCTTTATGTAAAGTGTCTTTGAGTATCATGAAACGCCCTATACAAATAAAATGAATTATCATTATTATTATTATAAAGTAAGTCCTGAGGAGAAGTATTCAGGTTTATTATTTGATTTAGGATTTGATTGGAGTCCTTCATGGTCATTAATTGTTAATCAATGTGGCTGCAGGTGACACAAGGAGAGAGAGGTTCGAAGTGTTAAGCTGCAGCAGTAAAAGTATTAAAAGAGGGGTGTCATAAATATGAGGCTACTGAGACATTTTTATTGTCTTGGCTTTGCTCCATCGAACTGCATTCAAAGTGAAACGCTGCGTGAAGTTTAAGTGCTGACTTTCAGTTTTTCGTGCGAGGGTGTTTCACACCCTGGAGAGCAAGTGTAGGAAGACTTTGATAGATAGTCTCTCTAGTTTTAGGACAATGCAGCCGCAGGACAATAATCATAAGCATACAAACAAGGCAACCACAGAGCTTTTTTAAGGCTAAACCAAGTCCGACTGAGATTTTGTGTTTAATTACCGAAGACTGAAAGGAGAGCACAACAAGCACCTGAAACAAGTCAAATCTCAAGCTGGGACCACAGCAAAGTCGAACAAGATTTTTTCAAATTATTTATGATGACTTTATTTGAGTCTGTTAGTTCAGAGTTAAGGTAGTGACAATGTTTTCCGGACTTCAGTTCATGAGTGTCTGTATCACAAATAGACCGAACAATCCTAACGGCTGTTTGGGTGATCATTTGCCTCAGAGGAGTGGCTGGAGTTGGTCGGTGTCAGTAGTTGGTGTCACTCATGAGGGCCTCTTTTCTGTTTCTCACAAATAATTCAACACGCCCCAAAACATAACAAGAAATCAGTTTATGTATTTTTTTTCAAAGGGCTTCTTTGCTACATGGTGACGCTAATTTGCACTGAGGTTTACATAATGAATAAATTATCAAAATTCTCGGAACAAAACAAATCAGGAGCACACAAATAACTTAGCAGAGGGAATGTGCTTAAATGCGAAGCATATTTAATCATCGTCTTAGTTTTCCCACGGGCGAAAACAACACGAGAAATGTACTTATTTTAAGTTTCTTGCTTGAGCGAACTCCTTTAAGCAATCAGTGTTATTTGGTAAATGTCAGATTTTAATAGCAACAGGCATAATTCACAAAACCTACCAGATTTAGGGCAGCAGAATGCTAGTTTAAGCGGAAACCAGGCACAACAGAGCAAAGGGTATATAACAACAAATTTAGAAAATGTGAAAATCCCTATTCTAATCTTGCACGTTATTCCACTGTGTGTCTGATTTTAAATGCAGAGGACGAAAAAGCTCTTTTTCACCTTCTAATGCGCTTTGTTTCCACCTCAGTGCCGAACCCATTGTATGTGCTACTTCCAAATGCGTAAGTGCAGGGTACACATACGACTAACAACATTCATGCTGAGTAATGAAGGCGTTTGCAATAGGGGGCACTTCAAAGGGCTGAAAAGAGACAATAACAATTATCTGAGCGGGCCTTTAATACTGCAAGACCTCCCCTCCTGTTTGCCTGAGGCACTGTGACTAATTCAGAGGTATATTTATGCACAGGGGCCTCGTAACACACGAGTGACCCTGAGACGGACGGATAGACAGTAAGACTGCAGAGCATATTGATGACACTGGGCCTGGAAATGATGCAAACATGGCTCCTGCTCCAGCATCCAGTCAAACAAGCACAGCTGTGGACAGTGAAGGGATCTGACTCCCAGGTCTCAGCTTCCGTCCCTGTTGCTGACTTTCCCACCCTGTACTTGGGGGGGCTATTTTTAGACAAGCTGTGACTGGACATCCTGAGAGACATGAGGAGAGCTTGTCCAACAAACTCTCCCTCAGCGTATGCATGTTCAGTGCTGAGTGTCCAGTCTTAAAACTTCCTCTTTTAACATGCGTGGAGGAGTGCAAAGTTATGGGCAGAATCTATGAGGGAAAAGGAAACTCACTAAAAACTTTCAACTTTTAGACACAGGTTGACTGTCATAAGCAAACTACACAGATACCCCACTACAAAGAGGCAAAAAAACAGGCAATGAACTGGCTTAAAGGGATCTTCCGGCATAAAATGAAGTAAGGGTCGAACACACCGTAACACCGAGTTAGACCGAGTTGGTTAGTTATACCAACTTTAGTAACGACCGCCACAAATAATGCTCAGAACAGCACCTAACTTCATCAACAGTACATATAGGGTCCTGGCCATAGCACTAGCCACCAAACATCTTTTTAACTTTGCCTGATTTCTTTAGCAAAGAGACTAAACACAACTCAACCACTCTCTTCCAGCCACTTGGTTGTAGGTAGACCTCAGACCAGTCCATCACTGACTACAGCGGGGTGACGCATCTCAAGGAGGAACATTCATGATCATTACTTAATTATTTGATTGCATTTCCATGAAGAAATGATCATAAATGTTCTTCCTTGGGCTGCGAAACTCCACTGCAGTTGGTGATTGGCTTGTCCAAGGTCCCCGTACAAACAAGCAGCTGCTGGACAAGATGGGTGAGTTGTGTTTGGTCTCTTTGCTTAAGAAATCAGGCAACGTTAAAAAGATGTTTTGGTGGCAAGTGCTATAGCTGGGACCCTAAATGTACTGTTGATGAAGTTAGGTGCTTTTCTGAGCATTATTTGTGGCTATAGAGTGGCTTTTTGGTTGAGCGTGTGACTCTCTCTGGTCTTTACTAAAGTTGGTATAAGACAAGCAAGCTGTTGACTACATTCATCTCTCGAAGGGGTGTCTAACTCTGTGTTGCAGTGTTTGTGAGCCTAACTTAATTTTACGCTGGAATATCCCTTTAATACTCCAGCTTTCTCTGGGATTGCAACATAACATTGCGAAACTTGTTATTCTAGTGGCTAATTAGATGAAATATTACTCAACTCAGCCATGTTTCTCTGATAAAAGGTCCTTAGGGGAAACTTTGGTTACAAAACATCCTCTCCACCAGTTCTCTCTTAGGTTTTCTCAAATTTAATTTCATATATTTGACATTCTTCTTAGACCTAAAAAAGTAGGCCGTGGGAAAGAATAACCACAGTCAATTAACAAGACAATGTCTAGCTCATAACTAATACCAGCTCAAAACAATAGAATTCCTAAAACAATGGCTGCCCCCGCCCCTCCCCAGTGACACACATGTAGGTTGACTAGATGACAATATTTTTGAATGATGAAAATAATCTCGGTGCTTGCTGGAAAGCGAACACAGCCTGGTTTTTAATCCCTGTGTTATTGTAATGCAAAGACAAAGTAGGTCTATAGTCTGTTCCAAGAGAAAACTTGCTTCTCAATAGCCGCATTCTCGAAATCCTCTTATGAGCTAAATATGAAAACAACTACCCATTCCCATCCCTGCGACAAACAGAAATGTTGTACCAGTGAATCTATAAAAAGCCCCTTTCCCAGACATTCCAGCAGAGCCGCTGCAAATATGCTGAAGGCAGAGTTAGCTGGAAGCGACATGGAGAGACTGAGGACCACTGGGACTGACAGCACACCGGAGTGACTGTGTAATAACTAATCACTCCACCAGATTAGTAAGAGACGGTCATGTTGTCAGAAGGACTTGAGGGACATGTAAGGAAGGGACACGTGAACTGTGTTTTTGGAGTGAATAAACACTGACATATGATGAAGCTCCGGTTTAACCTCTGCAGTCCCGCTGTCCTGTTAGCGCGCCACACTGCACGAACACAGGATGTGGGATGCCAAATACATGAAAGTTGAAGTAAATATGCAAGGGAAATCCACATTATCATCACAATATGTAAAAAACCAAAATGGCATATCAGTTCGTCAGCCTATTAGACCAGCCTGATGGTAATAAATCACTATTTTTAGTCTTTTTTAGTCCTGTTATGTTTTGGGGCTTATTTTCCCCCTTTATTACAATGACAGTTTAAGAGAGGCAGGAAAACAAAGGATGACAACTAGGAGACGAGCCAGCAACCACTGCAATGAAGACTACAGAATAGGGGACAGGTCTGAACTATTAGGTCCCCGCCACCTGTTTCTTATTTTGTGTTGAATGAAAAAGCAATGTGAATATGTTTCCTTGCTCTCTAATCTTCTCTCATATAAAATATTCTTATTTGCAGCATGAGAATGAACACTAGGGCTAAGCGATATGGACCAAAAGTCATATCCCGATATATTTAGGTTGAATATCGATGTATGATATATATCCTGATATTGTTTTCACAAAATGAGAACAAATGTTTAGTCAACATAGTCAAACATAAATACTGTATAACCATAGGAGTGTTAAATTGGAGCTCCATAAGGTGCACATTTAAATGAAAAGTATATCTTGAATAGAAATAGCCCATAAAGTAAAATAGGCCAATCTTTTTCTGAAATAAATTCATTTACACGAGAAAAGCATCAACATTTTGACAACTATAAATAGCCTATTAAAATCAAATTGCAGATTTTCTTCTCCTTTCTAACAAATCCACAGATGGATTTCCCCCTCTTTCTTTTTTACTTTGATAAACAGTTCGTGCTGTCTTGATGTAGACATTAGAGGACAGACAAGTGTGTCCTTCTTTGTTTAAAGATTTTGTGTGAGAAACACCAGCCTGTCAACAACAGCATCTGATATCGTTGTCATCATTACGTCGTTGTCGTCCTTTTCTTCCGCTTCATCTGGAGCAGCGATTCTACTCTGAATGCCCCCCCGAGTGTCCGAGCTCCTTACCCTATCTCTAAGGCCTGCGAAGGAAACCCATTTCGGCCGCTTGTATCCGTGATCTTGTTCTTTCGGTCATTACCCAAAGTTCATGGCCATAGGTGAGGGTCGGCACGAAGATCAACCGGTGAATCAAGAGTTTCGCCTTACAGCTCAGCTCTGTCTTCACCACGACTGATCGGTTAAGCGTCCGCATCACTGCGTACGCTGGCCTGTCGATCTCTCGTTCCATCCTACCCTCACTCCTGAACAAGATCCCGAGATACTTGAACTCCTCCACTTGAGGCAGGACTGCCCCTCCGACCTGGAGAAGGCAATCTACCTTTTTCCAACTGAGGACCATGGCCTCAGACTTGTAGGTGCTGATTCGCATCCCTGCCGCTTCACACTCGGCCGCGAACCGCCCCAACAAGAGCTGAAAGTCAATGCTCGACAAAGCTAGAAGTACCACATCATCCGCAAAAAGCAGCGACGCGATCCCCTGCCTGCCGAACTGGACACCCTCCTACCCCCGGCTGCGCCTTGAAATTCTGTCCATAAAGGTTTTGGAAATCCTCGGTCATGGAAACTGGCTCTTGGAACATCTGATATCTGTATATCGATATATGTGATATGGTCCAATTTCACATCTCATTTAAAAATATATTGATATATTTATTATATACATATATCGCTGAGTCCTAATGAACACACACAGTAATCCTGTTTTGAAAAAGATGAAACAGTCGAGTACTGTAGACTGTTAGTCATGATTTTTCCTATACTGTCAAAGGAAAACCTGAAGAAACTGGATGACAAAGGAATATTATGATCTCACACTGAAGTCAGAACCTGAAGAATCCCACTTAATTAAAGCTAAATAATTCAAATTTATGCAGCAAGTGATACAGAGCATGAACTTAATGGCTGATTCATATTCATAACTCGGCCAGTCTCAGGTTTGGGGGCAGAATTTAAGGTTATGTCATTATTGGTCTAAAATTTTGGGTAAGATCATTTCTCTCGCTTCTTTTTGGTAGTTATTCAAACCTTCGCTTCACAGCCAAATAACACTGTCGCGAACATCACAAATGAAGCTTCGCCTGACGGAGGACATGGTTGAAAAGTACATCACTCACTGATGCAAAAAAAAAGCCATTTGGAAATCACCCACTTCACTGCCAGTTTTCACCCAGCAGCAGGGTGACCTCACACCGAGCGCACAGTAGGGTGGATGCAACAACTAGATCATCCGGCATCATCCTGCATTGATTCGCACAGAAGCTCCAGCTGTTGTTGGTCAGCGGATGAAGATGAAGCATGTCTTTTCCACCACTATTAATTTTCAGCACATGCCCTCGACCTGCCACAGTAATAACACTCCTCCTCCTCCTCCACCACCATTCATCAGCATGTGATTACTAAAAGGTCAGCTACACACTCCGATTCAACACTTGGATAGGACTCAAACTGGATCTCAGCTTACTATCATGAACTCACATTACATTTCTAACGCATGCTGCAGTTTTGATGCTGCATGCACAAAGCAAACAGCACATGCATGTTATTTGAGATGCTGGAGCTGGCCTGTGATTCCTGCTTTCCTTCATCTCAGGGCTAACACACGACTGATCCCCCTCTTACATGAGGTTGCCGTTTTCTGTCACCCAAACTAAAACATCTATTTGCTTTGAAAATGTCTTCATTATTTCTCGATGGAGACAAAAGAAACCCTCGAGGTAATATCTAGGAATAAACAGACACTTAACGTTAACACTGCTGTTCAACGGTGTTGTGAATGTTAGCAGAAATTCAGATGTGAAAACGTGAAAGATGCTCCGACAACTACGTCATTTTTTAGGTTTGCCTCTCACAGCAGCGACGTAATATTAATAATATCGGGTACAATACGTGAATAACGTTAAAACAGCCCCGTTTACACAACGCTCCTTGGTTGTTCTCCATCTGTTTATGTCAAGCTAACGTCTGCTCTAACGTTAGCACTCACAGATCCGTTACAGCTGTTTATTTCACTAACGGTCGCTGTGCTTCGTTGAGCGCAGATAGTCGAAACTCTGGTGATAATTTCAGAGAATATAAAGAGGAGAAAGAACTTACCCAGGCTGGTGTAGAGAATGAAACAAGCTATGAGTCGCGCATTCGCCATCTTGCAGCTGTAATTTATGGGTTACAGTAGCTCGCACTCAGCACCTCTGTGAGGTATGAGGATGGGGGCAGAACAGACTGGTGGATGTTGCCATCGACGAGTTTCCATAGCTACAAGGGCTGACCGGGTTGAGCCCTCAACGTGGTCTGACAGGCGAAAGGCGGTGCCACATTTTACTCCTCCCCCAAAACAACTGGCAAAGAAAGTATTTAGAGTCTACAACTTTTTAATAATTAAAAAAAAATCCTTTATAAATTATTTCATACCCCACTTATGTAAATTTTCTGGCTTGTAAGGGAGACATGACCTTTTCAGCTTGGGGAATTCACCACAATGTAAATATTTTCTCCAAGTTGAATAATAGTAATCATATAAGACGGAGTATTTGGGCCACATTAAGAAAAAAGAAATTTAGACTTCAAGATTAGAGTCGTTAATTTACGATAATTAAGTCATTACTGATGAGAATAAAGTCATAATAAAGTCATTACTTAAGAGAATAAAGTCGTAATAAAATCATTGTGATACTTATGATAATGTGGTGCTGATGTGCCAAAAGATCCTTGTTTGAGAAACCTATATTGAAGTACATTTTGACGAAATGCTCAACGGCTCTTGTTTCAACAATTGTCATCTAAAACAACAGATTAGAATACAAGGACTTTATTCTGACTTTACTCTCGTAAGTGATTACTTTACTACGACTTTATTCTTGTAAGTCATGATTTTATTACAGCTTTATTCTCATAAGTCATGATTTTATTACGACTTTATTCTCATAAGTCATGATTTTATTATGACTTTATTCTCGTAAGTCATGACTTTATTACAACTTTATTCTCGTAAGTCATGATTTTATTATGACTTTATTCTCGTAAGTCATGACTTTATTACAAATTTATTCTCGTAAGTCATGATTTTACTACGACTTAATTCTCGTAAGTCATGATTTTATTATGACTTTATTCTCATAAATTAATCTCCAACCCTTTTTTTAATTTTCTTAATGTGGCCTTAATACTTTATCGTAATCATACATGCTAAGTGTTTAAATAAAAACAATATTTGGACTTTTTATAACGGTAAAACTTTCTAAGAGGAGGCTGATTTCATCAAAACTGAATTTGTTTTATTTGATAGAGATGACGCAGATCAACAGAAGACTACTTCCCATAAAAGCATGCGACTGATATGTTGCTCAGTGATGTCCCAATTTGTCCTTACTTGTAGGGTGTCTCTAAATTGTTTCGTCACATGAAGGGAATTGAATATGATAGAAATTAAAATATGTATATGTGCAGATGTAGTTGCTGGGACAGATGTGTAGTAGGTGTTTTTAATGTAGTCAGACAAATGGAAGGGAGTATTGGAGAGCTCAAACTGATTGCAATCTACATGAAAATATTTATAAGCAGGGGCATGTCAAAATGCGGCAAGGGCTGGTTCTGGTCCTCCTTTAAAATCAAACCAGCCACCCCGTGTAAATATTTCTAATTTGTGTATGACTGCCCAAATAAGACCACCACTTTGAGAAAAGTCTTAACATGCGCCTGTAATTAAGTGATAATTTTGTAAAACAAGATTTAAAGATGATCGAAAAATGTATCAAGATTTACTAACCAGGAACGGTTATTGCAAGTCCTTTACATTTCATCGCCATAATCACCATCCAACTTTATTTTTATAGCGCCAATTCACAACAAGTGTTATCCTAAGATGCTTAAGAAAACAGCTGGTCTAGACGATACTCTAATACGAAGGCGCAATGTAAAGATGGGATTAGATTAAGCCCCTTCTTGTAATATCAGACCCATTCCCATCCCATCTTCAACCACATCAGTGTTGCTCTTCACATCATTTGGCAAGTTACAGCGGAGAGGAAAAACTTACTTTAACAGGCAGAAACCTCGAGCAGAATCAGACTTATGTTTGACAGTCATCTGCCACTACTGCATTGGGTTTAGAGAGGGGAGAGAGGGAGACATAGAAGGAAAGAGATGGAGAGAGGTGAGATTCATGCATGTTACACGAGTGGTGCCATGTGAACTCATTCCTTGTTTTAGGGTCACATGATTACTTTTGTTTATGGTTCACTCTTTATCGGGAATAACCCAACGTGCAAAGGGGCTTTGCTGACCTCACTTTCCCCTCTTTATCCAACACCAGCCACCACACCTTTTGTAATGTTGTACAATTTTATGTGATGCAATGCAACAGATCATAATTCCATTAAGTGGGGCAGAATATCAGAAACATTTTTTCATATAACTAATGCACTCTAGTCCAAGACAACAACCCATCAATGACCTCAATATCAAACATGGGACAGAGATATAGTCTTACCAATAACAATTTGTTTAACTGGCACAGTCAATTTAATCCATGACCTTTCTTTTTTAATCAGTATTTGTATTCATCACTTCAGTACACATCTGTCTCATTTTTGGATTAAGTTTTACTTTTGGATCTATTATTTGATCTATTCCTATAATCCAACTTCGGTACAGTTTATGCCTGATATCTCAGAGAGTCTTTTTCTAAACTTGAGTGGCTTCCCCCTTTTTGTTTTTTATGCATTTACCTCATAGTTTATGAACTCAAGTTCAGGGCACAGTCAAGCCATATACAGCTGTGGTATATGGGAGAGTGTTGACCAGCGCCCTCCAGTGGTAATGAGTGCAAAAGCAGCCATTTAGAGGATTAACCTTTTATTTTGCATTCAATTTTATTTAATAACATATCTAACATACGTCTTTACAAATTAGACAACATAAAAGGCGGACCTTTTAAAAATTAGAATTTATTTTTCTGATTATTTCTATAGGAACTCTAAATGCACAGGCTCTCCATACAGTCCAACCTTTTCAAATCGATACAGTAATCTGAGTCACCAACATTTTAATTAAAATCTAGTAAGATCAGATAAGAAAAGAAGAACTTTATTGATCTCCAAGGGCAAATTCCATCATAGTCAACAGTAAACTTCAATCAATTAATCAGTCTTTATCGATTTAGGCCCAGATTTACAACAAATGTTATCTGAAGAAGCTTTAGAAAAAGGGTTGGTCTAGACCACGCCCTCATGGTATTTACGAAGAGCCAATATAAAGACAGAGTTACATCATGACAGATCAAACCCACTTCTATCACATGTTAGCAAGTTACAGTGGAGAGGAAAAACTTCCTTTAACAGGCAGAAACCCTGAGCAGAACCAAACTCATCTAAGACAGACATTAGAACAATTAAAGCAGAAAGAAACAAAAAGTTCTACAGTAAGTTTTGAAACAGTGATGAAAATGGAGAGACTGATGCTGATAAGTTAACACTGGCTTTGAAACAGTTTTAAAGTCATACTTACTCTGAACCTGAATTCATACTTTTCCTTGTTTGGCAGAGGATTCATCTGAGGAAATGCATGATGACTTGTCCTTAAATCTAAAAAAGGCACATGGACTTGAAGTTGAAGTTCTGGGATCTTTTCTCCTCTCAGACACAAGTCTTTTTCAGTTCATTGGTTTGTCAAATTTAACACATGAAGACAACTTGGAGGGAACCTTCACATTTATGCCCCTTTAGATGCAAAATTTATATCCAGGGGCTGGGTCCACATTGTGATTTTGGCATCTCAAAATGAAAAAAAAAAAGAAAAAAGTAGAGTTGGCTTATCTTGTATTCTGAAATTTAAGTAGTTTTTATTTGGAAGGGCCAGAGGAGAAAATGTTTGATGAATGCTAATGCATTTTCTTTGAGTCTATTCCATGTACTTACTAATCTAAGCTTAAATATATTAAACCAAAAAAGTTGATTTTTTCATCAAATAAATATGTTTTAGCTAACCAAAGTTACACTATCTATCTATCTATCTATCTATCTATCTATCTATCTATCTATCTGTACATCTATCTATCTATCTATCTATCTATCTATCTATCTATCTATCTATCTATCTATCTATCTATCTATCTATCTATCTATCTATCTATCTATCTATCTATCTATCTATCTATCTATCTATCTATCTATCTATCTATCTATCTATCTATCTGTACATCTATACATCTACCTATACTTTTATCTAAACCAGCCAACTGAGGTAAAAGGTCACCTGTTAGTCGAACTCGAGGGCAAAATGCCCGAATAATAACTACAAGGGCATCAGGGCAGAGGATGGACCACAGAGAGAGACAGGAAACGCCTGAGCATCATGGTGTCAAACATTGATCCCCAATGTCAGCATCCTGTGACCCTCAAGAGAAATCCCCCATCAGAACAAACCGAGATAACATGTAATCACAGAGCAAATTACGACATCTGACTAAAATATCAATCGGGATATCTGATTTTTCTTCTTTTTCTAAAAAAAAAGAATAGCTAAATCCTCCATAAATAGATCTTCTGACGTCAAAGAGACCAATCCTAGATTAAATTTATTTTGATTACTTTACAAATCTGATTCTTGTCATTGCCCAGACATGGTCGTAAAAGATTTTTGTTCTGTGTCTAACCTGCAGATGGCAGCATAAAACCACACATTAAGTCGATGTCACAACCCAGAACAGTAAAAGACACATCTCATGAACAAATGAATTGAGTGATACAATACAGATGTTTGAGTAACTCAATATCTGGTATAGCTGAAAGGACTGTCTTTATCCGTTTGTCCACTTGTAGAAAATAAGTCCTCATTTGTTAAAATTTAAGCTATGTGTCACAGAGGACTTGACTTCTGGATGGAGGTTTATCTTCTGGACACAATGCTCGAACCCAAACTCTAAAGAAAGCCTGAAATAAAACAAAGGCTTTGCTGCTTCTTTTGAACTTACCCCGTTTGCCCTCCTTTGTTTCACTTTTGCTTATATTGTATATGTTGCTAGGTGATTGCTCCTTTTTTTGCAAAGACAGAATTAAAGACAATATCTGTAATTTGTTTAATCTTTGCAAAAGACCGTTCATGAATCAGTCAATCGAGGTGAATCTGCTTCAGAGCCAAACTAGTGACGCCATCGCTCTAACAAAGTCAGTCATATTACAGCCATTGCTCAAAGACGTCTTCATTTCCTGTTTTATGAACAAGGTGGTTTGTCTGTGCGTGAATGCATCATTTGCAATGTATATCTCTC